CTTACGTACATTTTAGGCGGATATTGGTATTTACTCTGCGCAACACTAAGCGTTTGCGCCAAAATATTAGCAGATGACTTTCAACAGGTGCGGATTTGTTTATATATGCAACTCAATATAAAGTAGTAGTATATACAACTCAGTTCATTAGTTACTAATTTCGTTTGTAAAATGTTCGCGTGTATAAATACACAAATATCAGACTGGTAAGGGCATGAAATTAATGTCATAGCATATTATACTTTCATGGACCGCTCAATTGATATCTCCTTAGGAAATTAACAGAAAAAAAAAGGTAGGACCAGAGTGTTAATTTTTTCAATCTTTGTAACGTATATTATTTCCTGCTGTTAAAAAGGCCTCCGCCATATAGAGTTTACTCTCCAGTTTATGAGATTATTTATTGAGTACTTACGTAGGTAAATACAAATATTACAAATTGTTATTGAGTTAATTTAGAATATATATAACAATATGACACTGTACATAGTATACTGCTTGGTGTACGGTATATTTTATACAACGATACATTCTGTACAATTTTCTCTCAGGCTCTTCGGCACATTGGTCCGGCGGGGAAAGTAGCGGAATATCGAGCACTTTGGCTGCGATTAAGTAAATTGGCGTGCGATACGGGTACCGCCAACTGCTACACATTCACTTTCGTAAACCTATATCTTTTTCTGATTATAACTCTTTCCATCTACGGACTTCTTAGTCAAATCTCCGAAGGGTTCGGAATAAAAGACATTGGACTTACCCTAACAGCGACTTGCAGCATTCTTTTATTATTTTTCATCTGTGATGAGGCACACAATGCCTCGCAAAATGTAAGTCATTTTTTTTTCAATTTTGTAGGGCTCATTTTAAATGTTGTTGACCCATACTGTTTTACTAATTGTTGACCCATACCATTTTACTAATTGATGCCCATCCATTTTATAAGTTTCTCACATAGTATCATGATCAGTTACGATTTTTTAAGTAAAACTTCTTTAGGCGCGACTAAAGGGTAACTGAAGTCGACAATGTAACGGTATCGCGTTGCGGCGATGACGCGTGCCCGTTGCATTATAAATCGATATCATATATCCATATGAAATATTTATTTTTATATTTACGCTATATGAGTATATATGTATATGGGTGTGACGACCCGAATGGTGAAGTGGGTAGTGTACCTGCCTCCTGCGCCAGAGGGTGTGGGTTCGATCCCCACTACTGGAAAAATATTGCGTGATGAACATGGTGTTTTGCTAGTGTCTGGGTGTTTATATATGTATAATATGTATTTATTTACAAAAGAAAAGTATGTTTAAGTATATTTATCAGTTTTCTAGTACCCATAGTACTTACTAGCTTTGCTTAGTTTGGGACTGGAAAATGTTGTGTAAAAATGTGTCCTAAAATATTTATTTATTTATTTATTTATTTATTTATTTATTTATTTATGTATCTGAACATGTGAAATAATAATAAATTATTAATAATATATTATTTTAAAGATATTTTTAGTATTACTTAGGAGCAGTTCCGTGACGATATTACAGTATTTATGATTTTTTACTATTAGTAATTCTAGTATCAGTACCGTTTCTGCAATAGGTTAGAACAAATTTCCAAAAGAAGCTTCTTATGGTTGAGCTCTCCTGGATGAATACGGACGCCCAGACAGAAGTCAACATGTTTCTACGAGCAACAGAAATGAATCCATCACAAATAAGTCTCGGAGGATTTTTCGATGTTAATAGAAATCTTTTCAAATCGGTAAATTAACAATCATAACTTTGCTGGAATTGCCCTAGCTTTCTACATTCCTTAGTCTTTATTTCTGTCGATTGTCAATGCTGGTTACACTCATTTAATTTTTTTAATAAGGTTCTAAATGCAAAGATCCCATCACAGTTCGAAATGGGGGCAATGATAACTTTAATAGCCAAAAATGTGATAGTCTCTACCAATTTATTGACTTTAAATTTTATAGTGCAGAACTAGGTATAATGTAATGAATAAATAAAACGCTAAAAAGAAAATAGGTACTAATCGTAAAAATTTATAAAAATCTTCAAAAAGTGATAAGAATATAAAATATTAAAATTTGCTTCGGATATGGAAAAGTTTTCTTTTTTAACGATTCAAATTATTATACCTAAGGACCAATAGTAGAGATTTTTTTTTAACTGAAAGTACTTTTTAGCTCTTGGCTACAATGGTGACCTACCTAGTGGTATTACTTCAATTTCAAATAAGTATTCCTGATGATAATCCAGATGCGCAAATTGAAGGAAGAAACGACACTACAGGTGCATTAGAATCCACTTCTCTTATAACTACTATGACGACAATCCTTACAACGCTTGCCAAGAAGAAAAAGAAACAGTAGGAACAATATTGTGCTTAAGTTGTTCTTGAAATATTAACATAAAATAAATAGTATTAAATAAAATAGTATTAAACGTAAAATATAGATTTTTTAATTTAATAAATCCAAAACTATAAATAAAAACATTAACATCAGAACATAGACTTGTAAGCTATAAACTAATGAAAATCTAGCATGTTGTATCTAGTATAATGATGCAAGTATTTTATACAAACAATGATATTTAATAATATAGACGACGCATTTGTCCATACCGATGATGTTTTAATAAATAATATCTGCGCCGTCTGCGGGACGTTTAATAATTGTTCCGCTTTAGATTATAATTAAATGACATAGGTATATAAGTGTATGTGACAGATGATATAAAGCGTATGATACGGAAAGAGTTACTTACTCTTTCCGTATCATTATCCTATGTATCTATAGAATTGCAATCTAATTACACCAATTGGCGTCAGTTTTGATGCGCTGGTGTCATAACTACCTCGTATTTATACATAATAGCATACTACGCAGTGTTTAAAATTATTCCGCTATAAATTTTATACCAGTTATGACATATATCAGTTTATGGGCTATCCCGCTGCTGGGCAAAGGCCTCCCCTGTACAGAGGATATCAGGGCATAGTCCACCACGCGACCCTACTGCGGATTGGCGGACTTCACATATCTTCGAAATATTTTGTTTGTTCATGATGTATTATTTAAATCAACACTTAGAAAGAAAATATGCAGGTTTCCTCAAGATATTTTCCTTCACCGCTGAGCACGTGATAATTCAGCACTTAAAATTGACAAATCTTATTGGTGCTGGCACCGGGGATCGAACTCAGGTTACTCGAGTATATTAAAGGCGAGCGCCCGGACGCTGAGCTATCACGGCTCCTATGACATGTATAAGCGAACGTAACAGAAGATATAGAACGTATGATATGGAAAGAGATAGCAGTATAAATACTTTTTATGCAATTTAATTACACCAATTGACGTAATTTGAGCGCCTCAGTTTCGGTGCGTTAGTGTTATATCTACCTCGTATTTGCATATAATATCTTTGCCTATAGATATGTTATACGCTTACAAAATCACCAAAAGTGTTCCTATTTCCAAAAAGAGTTACACCACAAATTCAAGCGTTCCGTCCGAATGGTATAAAAAGGATTAAAGTAATAAGAAAAATAGAGGACAATCCTCGGGATGCATCCGTCTTTCTCGTAAGTGTAATACAGAAATTTATTTGCTGCTTTTTCCTTTGCTTTTGTACAACCTAAATAATTAAAATATTAGGAAAATAATCGATACATTTCGATGATATACGTACATGATATAAGATCACTTGAATATTGTAAACTTTAGACATTTTTTGAAGACACACGATGGCATTTTTATTAATGTAAAATTTTGATATGCGTCTTACTCGCCATTTTCCCTCACGTAAACAAAAGGCGAAACGTCCCAATTGGGACGTTTTTGTGGATTCAATTTGGTCGCTTTAACAACATATGAGTAGTATAAAATTTCTTTAAACGTATTGTTACTATTGTCTAGTCTTAGTTGTTGTTTTCTTGATTTTACGCGAATAGTTATACAAATTTAATATAGTCTTACTTGGATACACGTTATCAGAAGCAAACCAACCCACCGGGAAATAATACTTAATACGACTTTTTTTATGGGATAAAAGTGGCAAACGAGCAGGAGGCTCAACTGATGGTAAGTGATCACCGCCGCCCATGGACACCTGCAACACCAGAGGGCTTACAAATGCGTTGCCGGCCTTTTAGGAAAGAGTATGCTCTCTTTTTGAAGGTTCCCAGGTCGTAACGGTCCGGAAAGACCGCCGGCGGCACTGGTTCGACAGAGTAATTGTGCGAGGCAGGAATTGCCTTGAAAATCGAGCTGTTCTGGAACGCTGGACATCGAGGTGGTGTGGATGAAATTTTTGGTTTTGGTGCAATGTCCGAAGATGAAATTAAGCCGCCAGGATCAATCCAAACAATTGCTCGGAACACTCCCCGTAATAGATGCGGTAGAAGATACAGAGTGACCCAGAGCCAAAGGATCAAGCCGATCGAAAAGACTTTGATTGTCTATAACCCTAGCTGCCCTACGTATAATGCGGTCAAATGGAAGAAGCTAGTAATCGGGGGCTCCCGCCCAGAGGTGAGAACAGTACTCCATGTGGGCCGAATTTGCGCCTTATAAAGGTTTAGGCGTTGAGCCGACGTGAAGTACTGTCTCGCCTTGTTTAGCACACCGAGCTTCTTTGAGGCCAAATTGGCCTTACTTTCCAACTTATTTACGTATCTCCAAGGTATATAGATCTAAATTTTGAAATATTGTTAATTATAATGTTATATAAAACTATTCTATCTAAAAGTTAAAACTATTGACCTCATATCGTCATACAAATATATGTTTTAATTTTTAATTTTATAATCTGTGGTAAATTTAATGGAAGGAAAGTAAAAAAAGAATATTCCGGATTATTCAATTTCAACTGTCAGGTATCAGCTCAAGTTAATAAATTGCTACTTTTTTACACCTTCTCCTTTAAAATTTACTTCTAAATAGCAAAGAAAATCTTAAAGAGTTTCTCTACAACAAGAGAATAATGGTGGATTATAGCAAGTGGAAAGACATCGAGGTTAGTAAACAAAATTTTTCCCAATGTTATCTTAGTTTTTTTTTCTGTAATATTAGTTCCATACTTTTACGAAACTTTGGAAACATTTATTTCTTCTTAAGTAACGCTAATAGTAAATGTAGTAAATGTTTCAATTTCTTCGGAAAGATAAAACATCTTGTTTACGTTTGATTGTGTGTTTAAATTTTTATTTACAAAATAACCATACAAAAACAATTTTATGTTTGAATAATTTATGTAGCCTTATTTATAACTCTGTGTTTAGATTTCGGATGATGAAGATGAAACCCATCCAAATATTGATACGCCTTCACTATTTCGATGGCGGCACCAAGCTCGTGTAGAGCGTATGGAAGAACGACGCCGAGAAAAGGAAGAGTTTGAAAAGAAAAAAGCTGAAACACTGAGAAAAATAAATGAAACTAAAAGAAAGATTTCTGAAACAGAGCCCGATAGCCCCAACATGGAGTCTTTGAAAAAGGCACTGAGTGATTTGGAAAGGGCGGAAAAGGAGATTCAGAAAAAAGAGGATGACATAAGGAAGAAGGAGAAGCAAACTCCTTGGAATGTGAGACACCATCAGTGCTCCTGGGTTTACAAAGACTGTTATCAACACAAAACCTTTGAGATCAAAGGATGAAAATCTTACTGAAGAAGAGAAAGAAGCAAAGATGAAGAAGTTCATCAAAGAAAATGAAAAGCTATTGAAACAGTTTGGCATGTTAAGGAAATATGACGATTCAAAAAAATTCTTACTGGACCACAATCAATTAGTATGTGAAGAAACTGCTAACTATCTTGTGATTTGGTGCATTAATTTGGAGATGGAAGAGGTATTGATTGCCATTGGTTAATTATGATACATAGCTCAAAATATTTTCTTCAATAAACCTTTTTTTTTTTAATTGTGACAAGGTCAGACAATAGCTTCAAACAAATGAGCCGGGCCACCTAAGAAGTCCCACGGCCAAGGCTGGCACAAGGTCAAAATATTGTACTTATATAGATAACTGGAGCCTGCTGATTTTAAAGGTGACAATATAACTACAAGCCCCTTAAGTGGTATAGACATCCATGGGCAGCAGTAATTACTATAAATCAGGATATCCACCTACTCGTATGCCAACTTTTGACATAAACAAATGTAGATGTAAACTGAAATTGAATCTCATTTCTTAGCCTAATAAGATGTTGTTGCCTCTGACCTCATCTTGCCTTTAGAAGTTCTTTTCTTTAGAGCTCTTATTTGATTTTTTTCCCTTTCACTGTTTTTATTAATTTTAACCTATGCTAAAGATTGATAATAATACCCTTTGCTAAGGAAAAGTTCAATGCTGTAGAAGAATAGACCAATCTTTCATGAAGAAGAAAGGCAATTTTAGAGTTATATTAAGGCTTTAGATACAATATAAAAGTTATTTATAGTGATAGCTCGGACGCAAGCGAGGATGAGGATGACTATGAAATATTTGTAGTAGAAATTCGTCTATAAAAATTCATTTTAGTATGTATAATATAAAGTACTTACCTATAAGAAGTATTTGTTTATATACTGACTGTACATTACTCTACAAATACAAAATAATTTTCAACCTGATTTACTTACAATAGAGCTATCAATATATTTAAAACTATTCTATTTAATAGAAGGACATCATCAATTGAATCTATATAAACATTTTCATTCTAAAAAATGAAAATTACTCTTTACAGAAACATGATTTAATGGCGCATGTGGCTCACCAGACTATCTGCATGCAGTACATACTGGAGCTTTCAAAGCAGTTGGATGTTGACCCAAGAGCTTGTGTTGGCTCCTTCTTTTCCAAGTATCACTTTTTCTTACTATGTAGTGAAATGGATATATATTCTAAATATTCCTCTCAAAATGTGACATATCATATGTCTCAAAGTGTAATATATATCAACGTTTTAGGATTAATTTTTATTTTTAGGACTTGTCTTTACTTAAATGAAACTTTAAAATTGTGAATTTTTGCCGTGAGGTTATTGGCCGCTGCCAGCTTAGCTGGTAAAGTGTTTGTGTGCAAAACCGAAACACACAAGTTCTAAACCCGCAGCATCTAATGTAATGAAAAAATACTTTTCTCTACATTAATTTACAATTTAAAAACGTGTCAATGTTTATACCATCAAAGAAATCTAGAGACGTGTGGAAAATTGTGATCTTTATTTTACAGAATACAATTGGCAGAGAAGACATATAAGGATTCTTTCGACGATGAACTAGAACAGTTTAAGGCACGTATAAAGAAGCGAGCGGCGGAAAAAATACAGGAGGCAATACGTGAGCAAGAAGAGGAGGAAAGGAAAGCTAGATTAGGCCCGGGTGGGTTAGACCCAGTTGAGGTTTACGAGGAACTCCCCGACGTAAGTGATCAGCAAACTTGATTTACTTTCTGAGCTTCAAAAATATATATTTTAATGTGAATTACTTTATTCTTGCATTATTCATCAAAATTTTAGGAGTTAAAGAAATGTTTTGATGCCCAAGATGTGCCAATGTTACAAGAAACTATTGCTAAAATGCCAGAACAAGAAGCAGTCTATTACATGAAGAGATGTGTGGATGCTGGCCTCTGGGTTCCATCCAAAAATGATGAGGAGCCCAAAATGAAGGAGAACATAGGGGATTCCACGGCCGCCACTTCAGATAGCACCGAGGATGTAGACTGAGATTTCTTATAACAAATCCGTTTTTTTATTACTTTCATTTTTGTACATAATGTGAAAATGAATATGTTTACTAGTTACTCGTTCTTTGGGATCATTCATTGCATTTCATTTACAATTTGCTACTTATCATAATTGAAATGGCTATAGACTAAGAATCAATTTTAGTAGTATCCTATGATTAGTTTTCCCTGGCATCCAGAGACTCATTATTTGAAGACATTTCAGAAATTATTAAATTATGTAAATCTTATGCCACAACAATTGAAATATTATTTAAATGCTTGATGCATATTTAACAACACTAAATACAATAAATTCTCTTTAATATTGTTTTTATTTACATTCCGAATTTAACTATATACCTGATTTAACCCTCGCAGAATTTCAAAGCGTTATTCATCAAGCGCGATGAATCAAGTTCAGCGAAGGCATTGCACAGTATTAAATGTCTAGTAAGTTCATGTAATAATTTTTCTCTAGTTTGCGCTGGTGGTATTTTATTTTAAATTGTATTTTACCGATCTCTGGCAATACAGTTCCTAACATGGTTATACACTTTGTTTTTTAACTTTTTACGTTTTAGGTATTAGGAAGTTTGGTACACGAATTTTCACACCCATTTTTCATAAGAAGCAGAAGGCTTACTGTACCTAGGAGCTAGGTACATCTTTCGAGTAGGGTCATGCATCCTTTGTTAAGGAAGTTGAGCCAGGTCAGCGGTATAATTCAGTAGGTGGCTGTACAGGCAATACGGCGCCCTCACCTACCGCACGACGCATGTCCTCTCGGGACATGGTTGTTTCGGGAGGTATCTGTTTCGCGTGGCGAGGAGGAGCCCACAGCGGAATGCCACCACTGTGACATATGTGCCGAGGAGACGGCCCAACACGCGCTGGAAGAGTGCCCAGCCTTTTTTTTTTCTGTTGACGGTGGGGGAAATGCCTACGCATACCCGCCCTCGCGGGGGTAAGAGCGGGTTATGTCTGACTCGCACCGACTAAAACCCCCACGATGGCCGCCTTAGCAGCCCCCTCACGGGGAGCAACTCTTTTCTCCTCCACGTTTTAGGTATTAGGAAGTTTGGTACACGAATTTTCACACCCATTTTTCATAAGAAGCAGAAGGCTTACTGTACCTAGGAGCTAGGTACATCTTTCGAGTAGGGTCATGCATCCTTTGTTAAGGAAGTTGAGCCAGGTCAGCGGTATAATTCAGTAGGTGGCTGTACAGGCAATACGGCGCCCTCACCTACCGCACGACGCATGTCCTCTCGGGACATGGTGTTTTCGGGAGGTATCTGTTTCGCGTGGCGAGGAGGAGCCCACAGCGGAATGCCACCACTGTGACATATGTGCCGAGGAGACGGCCCAACACGCGCTGGAAGAGTGCCCAGCCTTTTTTTTTTCTGTTGACGGTGGGGGAAATGCCTACGCATACCCGCCCTCGCGGGGGTAAGAGCGGGTTATGTCTGACTCGCACCGACTAAAACCCCCACGATGGCCGCCTTAGCAGCCCCCTCACGGGGAGCAACTCTTTTCTCCTCCAGGTTAGGCGCGCTGGAACATTCAGCCTTCTTACTCGGCCCCATTTATACGGCCAACGAACTCCCCCGAGTTCGCTGACAGGGGCCATGGGAGCCAGGGGAGCCAGTGCTAATAAGCCGCAAGCCTCCCAGCCCCCACCTGGACCGCCGGACCTGGTCTGTGGCTCCGCCGCTCACCACGTTTCGGCCGCGGAGGATAGGGAGAACGGCGCACCGCAATACCGACACTCCTCTCCCCCCGCGGCCCCACCACCTCTGCATCAGCGGTGCAGCCCCGCCGAGTCGCGGAGGATAGGGAGCACGGCCAACGCAATACCGACACTCCTCTTCCCCCCGCGACTCCTCCTCGGTAGCAGGAGACAGGGAGAGTGGCTCCACCTCTACCACCCTCGACCTGTCCCCTGCTCCCTTCAGCACGCATCCAGAGTGGGCTCAATGAGCCTACTCGGAGCGGCCCTCTCGGGCCGACCTTACACCACAAGCCGGCCCAGTGTGGGTTCCTCTTAGCTTCGCCGCTTGGTCCCCAGCCACGGCTACTAAGCCCCTGCGCCACGTTAAGGCGGGAACCCGGTCGGAGGAGAAGAGTGCCCAGCCTGGATGGAGCAGCGCCGATAGTTGTGCGCTATCGTGGGGCACGACCTCTCGCTGCCTGCCGTGGTTCGTGCTATGGTGGACAGCGAGAGGGCGTGGGGTGCTGTCCTTGCATTTTGTGAGGACATAATCACCCGGAAGGAGGCCGCGGAGAGAGAAAGGGAGGCAACTGCCACTGGAAATCCGCCGCCGGAGACCAAGGCGCAGGAGGCTGGCCTACGCGCGCATCCTTCCCCACTGATAGCAAGCCCCGGGCAGGATGTGGGGCTGGATGCTGCCCCGTGGACGGATCGGAGGTGCCGTGTCCATTGTACCCATACGGCACCATATGGCTGGACTGGGTGTCCCTAACATTATCGTGTTATCGTGTTCCCGCGTCCCCAGCAAAAGCGACAACGCAGGTGCAACGTGGGTTTTTTAGTGGGTACCCCGTGTTCCTGGGGACACCCACATACCCCCGCTGCCACAAGACGGCGGGGGATCCATAAAGGATTTTTCCCACGTAAAAAAAAAGGTCAGCGGTATAATACATTATGCTATCACCGAGTATGTGTTTTCTGGCAGGGTCCGTTCCGGTACAGAACCGCAGTGGTCTTAAAACTATAAACTTGTGCGCATTTAAACTTAGAACGAGAAGAATCTTAAAAAGAGCATCCCCATTTTCAAGCACCTACTTGTTAGTAAAAATTAAGTAGTGATTGATGTCTTTGAATCTGTGACTTATATGGTTAACGTAGATTTGTAGCGTATTCCCTCGACATCACGTCATGTATATATTTTTGCAACGCTGGTTGAAAGGCTACCTAGAACGCCTGGGATATATCATGCAATGCCAATCACCATATTGTATAAACCGCATCTAATTGCGATAATGTACATACAGGCGCGATTCCATATACATGCGCTCCGACGCAATATCATTATATTTATACAGGGAGGCTTTTCTAAGTATATCCATTTTTTTTAATTTTTTAATTCTAGACGCGTAAATAAAAATTATAAATATTTTAAATCACTCGTAAGTAATTAATTACATAAATTTGAACTTATCTCAAAAAGTGCGTGATTTATACGCAACTCATTTTACGCGCCATTTTTAAACCTAGTAATTAGTAGTGATTACATTCTCTTTGTTACGCGCAATCATTCTCATAACTAACACGTACACAAGTTCGTGCACAATAAAATTTAGGTATTTATGAATGATTACCACGTTGTCAACAAGTTCTGTTTTTTTAAGGTATAGAATGGTAATTTTTTTGAAAAAAAAAATTCTTTGTTTTTATTTCAATAAACGATTATACTACCGAGTCTGAACCTCCTGTGTAAATTTGGGCACCTTTAAAATAGTCTCCCTGTATTAGAAATGCCGAGACACCAAACATACAGTACCGCTCAGTCAAGACCGTTAAATAAATTCCATGAATTGGTGCAATGCTTTTTGACTGTGGACCAACTTTTCTGTCTGCTTTTTCGTCCTCAACTATGGTCTGCAGGGCCACGCAGCAGTTTCCGCTGTTGCATAAATGGGCAGGCAGGCATGGAGTAAAGCCACGGCCTCACAGGAGACCGGTGCCGGTGAGCGAGGTAACCAGAGCCACTTTTTTTATGATTGACAACGCATCTAACCGCAACCAAATGTTCTAGTTTCTTAGGCGGCAGTTATCACGATAACTTTATTAAAATAACATACGTAATCTTAATGACATCAGGTGTGCCTCCTAACTTTTGACATAGAAAATAAATATTTAACCTGAAGTATAAAACTGTCATTTCACTCCGGTCTTCTGAGACGTCGTGGCACTTCCCTGAAAGGATCTGCCTATTCGTGCAACAGCGAACTGTTGGTATCTTTTTTTTTTTCTTGCATGGTTAGGGTAAGTAGTAGTCTTTTGCGGTCCTTTTTCTTGCCATGCGTACTTTAACAACTTACATTTTGTTTCACACACATCTGAAGAAACATGATGGGGTAAAGGTTCAGAAAATAAACGACAATAGATTCTAAATGTAAATACTTTAGATTGGTACAATCATATTTTTTTTTACTTGCGTTAAAACGCAATTTTCACAATGCACTTTTTAAAGTTCTAAAAATATTTATGTGTACTATCATATTATTGCTTCGTATATAATCAATTCATGTATTCATTGCATGTAAAATCGAATGCGAGGTATTCATCAAAAAAAAGGGGATCACTGAACGGTAAATCAATCAAATCAAACGACCAAAACAAATTGGGGAACGTAAAGTAAAATAAGACATTTAATTATAACACTAAGCAGACTACGATCGGAGCATCGGTTGTAGGGTGTAAATAAAATGTAGTCATAACTTGTACTTTTTATATAACAAAACTACAATAGATGCGAGTGAGGCACGCGGACGCTACGTGAGCACGTGCGGCGGCAGTTGCGGTCGCCCCTCCAGCTTGCTGTAGTCCAGGTGGAACTCTTTCGCCACCTGACGAACAAACCAGTTCATGTTTAGCATAATATCACAATACTACTAAAATATAACATGGTGACAAAAAATCTGAAACATTAACAGAACCCTAAACGTTGTTTAAACTATTTTATGCATCTGCTTTATCAACTAAGCTAAAGCAGTCATGTCCTCACGGCTAGGAAAACTCGACATCTAAGTTCTTTCAATTGCATTTTTAGCAATGTTTGGCGTTATCTAGTGTTCATGCTTTACAGCATGCAACACCTTAGAAATAACAATCAACGATGAACAGTATTAATGTAGATTAATTTGTAAATAGATTGTTTATTATTAATTTGAATACGTCGCGTAAAACTAGTGAGATTTAGACTAATATTGATAAAGAGGAGGAATTTTCATAAATATTCTTGCCGTATGTAAACACTAAGCAAACTTATAATATATATATAGGACCATCACACGTGTAGAATAAACGTTTATAATGTAAACCAGGAACATTGAAATTAATCTGCCGGGGCCAAGTACATCAAAAGAAATTAATTTGTTAGATGTAACTACCTGTCATGTTTTTATTAAGTTATTCAACGCTTCCCACACACACTGTCACAATAATCTATATCTTGGTAAAATACTGACTGTCCGTGTTTTATTCAATACATTACATTGGTACAGTCTGTAGGATCTTTTTTTTTTTTTGTAGAGATATTACGTTTATTTGTTGGAGCAGTTACAATGCCAATTGGAAAGATAGAAACATTCGAATTCGAGGCATAATTGGCATGCGTATTGCAGGCGAATTAAACAGTTTATCGTACTCAATAACATTCCAGAAAAAATATACGCGGACACATTAGTGACTCATGTTGGAGTGACCTGTTACGAATTAATGTGTGAGCTATGCGCGCCCGATTTACCGTAAAGTCTATCGAAGAACTTGAGTTAATTGTGAAACTAAAATTTGAGCCTGTGTCTTGGAGTTGTGAGTTGCCAAAAGGATGATGAAGTGAGGGTTGAACTCTTTGAATTGATCACAAAATGATAATTTTTTTTAACCGTCATTTTTAACAATCCTTTTGGCAAATCAAATGACATTTGACAAGCCATTAATTAGAGTTTCAGAAGCCGGGCGTGGGAGCTACATGGATGTAACAGCGCACTATATAGATATAAATTTATCATTCTTAACAAGTGATTTTAGAAAAAAAACACCTCAATGAGAGTAACACTAGTGACTAGACCTTAGAATCTGACCACCAAAGTTAATCTTGCCATTCTTGACAACGCCAAAAATATTTTTGAATCGATTGAAATGAAATTAGGATGGAAACATTATGGGTGTTGCGCTCATTTATTAAATTTAATCGTAATTAATGCCGTGAATCCTATGCAGTCTCTTATAGAAAATGTAAAAAAGTGGTAGTTTACTTTAAACGATGCACTAACGCAACAGAAAAGTTGTTAAGTTACCAAATAAAAAAATTGACTGAAAGCGGTGAACCTAAAGGCTTAATTAACTTAACGCACAAGTGACAACACGAAGGAACCTAACTTTTTTATGTTACGCCGTTTCGTTTTGCTAAAAGACGTAGTGAAACACTGTATGGCACGTATAGAAAAATACTGGCAGAGTATTGGTGCAGCGGCATGGAACTTAATTAAAGAGTAGTGTACAGTGATGCAGCCTTTTGAAGAAATTACTACTTCTATCAGCGGTGAACAATACATTACTGGTGATATGTGAATAATAATGACAAACTGCCTAAAAGTAATCTGCAAGGATGTTTTAGAAAAAGATGTTTCCAGCGCCTACGATCCGAGAGTGAGTGAGTCTTTCTCGGCAAAAACCGGTATAAGGGAAAGATTTTACAGCATGGAATACAGCAAAAAATTTGGTCAATGTACTTTACTACACCCACGTTTCAAATTATGCTGTTTTATAAACGTACACGCAGCTGCCGAATTAAAAAAAAAGTACGCGCGTGTAAAACTGATGTCAGACTTCGTTTCGTTTTATATTTTATATCAATATTTGAAAACGGTTTTTGATATTGATATGAAAGTTAATTACCACATATGAAATAAAGTTTATGACGCCTAACAGAAAAACAATTCATACATGAAAACTGGCAGTAATGAGGAGAATGAAGAGATCGTTCACTTCTAGTGGGAATAAATTCCTCGTTGTTACCATGAGCAAGTTAAATGGAAACATAAGAATACCGGAAAATCCCAATGAAATTAGTAAAACACAATCTAAAACTTTGTCGTTTTTCATTCATTTTGTCAAATATACAGGGAGATTTTTTGAGATATGCCCAAATTTACACAGGAGGTTCAGACGTGGTAGTATAATCGTTTATTGAAATAAAAAACAAAGTTTTGTTCCAAAAAAAATGCCATTCTATTACATAAAACCTGGTGACAATGCGGTAGTCATTCATAAATACCTAAACTTTACTGTGCACGAACTTGTGTACGTGTTAGTTATGAATGATCGCGCGTAAAATAAATGAGTTGCGTATAAATCACGCACTTTTTGAGATAAGTTGAAATGAATGGAATTAATTACTTACGAGTGATTTTAAATATTTATCATTTTTTTATATAACATTATTTATGTCTATAATTTAATTAAAAAAATGGATGCACTTAGAAAAGCCATCCTGTATGTATAAAAGGAATAAAATCCGGTTACGCCAACCGGTCGAAGTACTACGGCTACGCAATTCGTCTAGAAAGAACAATTCAGCTTTTGGCAAAAGCATTCATTGCACTTGGTGTTCATCAAGGTCCATGCCTCTCACCTCTTCTATGCATTGGGATGAATAGATCGATTTTTATGTAACATTATTTATGTCTATAATTTAATTAAAAAAATGGATACACTTAGAAAAGCCATCCTGTATGTATAAAAGGACTAAAATCCGGTTACGCCAACCGGTCGAAGTACTACGGCTACGCAATTCGTCTAGAAAGAACAATTCGGCTTTTGGCAAAAGCATTCATTGCACTTGGTGTTCATCAAGGTCCATGCCTCTCACCTCTACTATGCATTGGGATGAATAGATCGATTTTTATGTAACATTATGTATGTCTATAATTTAATTTAAAAAATGGATACACTTAGAAAAGCCATCCTGTATGTATAAAAGGACTAAAATCCGGTTACGCCAACAGGTCGAAGTACTACGGATACGCAATTCGTCTAGAAAGAACAATTCGCCTTTTGGCAAAAGCATTCATTGCACTTGGTGTTCATCAAGGTCCATGCCTCTCACCTCTACTATGCATTGGGATGAATAGATCGATTTTTTATGTAACATTATTTATGTCTATAATTTAATTAAAAAAATGGATACACTTAGAAAAGCCATCCTGTATGTATAAAAGGACTAAAATCCGGTTACGCCAACAGGTCGAAGTACTACGGCTACGCAATTCGTCTAGAAAGAACAATTCGCCTTTTGGCAAAAGCATTCATTGCACTTGGTGTTCATCAAGGTCCATGCCTCTCACCTCTACTATGCATTGGGATGAATAGATCGATTTTTATGTAACATTATTTATGTCTATAATTTAATTAAAAAAATGGATACACTTAGAAAAGCCATCCTGTATGTATAAAAGGACTAAAATCCGGTTACGCCAACAGGTCGAAGTACTACGGCTACGCAATTCGTCTAGATAGAACAATTCGGCTTTTGGCAAAAGCATTCATTGCACTTGGTGTTCATCAAGGTCCATGCCTCTCACCTCTACTATGCATTGGGATGAATAGATCGATTTTTATGTAACATTATTTATGTCTAGAATTTAAAAAAAAATGGATACACTTAGATAAAACACCTTAGCCTATCAGTGTAGTTATTCATAAAAATAAATAACTTAAACTTAATCATGGCGACATTTCGGCATATCAGCAGTGCTATTTCTGTACTCGTATATAAAAACTTTATACAGCGTGTCGTTACCATCGCGACAATAAATGAACACACATATAGGGGATAGCTTTTTAAAGTTGTATTAAACATTTAAATTCTTTAAACATCAATATTTACACAGTTATTAAATTTTCCAAAACAAAGAATTTTAGAACACCCTTACCTATAAAAGCGTAACGTAAAGTTCATTTGTAAAGGTCACAAAGCATATGAATGGGTTGAATGAATTTAAAAGAGACAAAACATACTGTTAGAAGGAGAGGCTTGTAATACGACGCTGTGGCGCGAGTTGTATAGGATGTTACAAATTTTGTTTCTTTTTTACTTAATTAGTTTGTTTGAAAAATATTTTTTTTTTAATTATGGATTTTGTTTAACGTTAATATTTTTTTATGATTATTGGCAAGTAGTGACGTGTTCATTTATTGTCGCGATGGTCACGACACGCTGTTTAAAATTAGTGTATATAAAACCTTGTTATTTCAGTGTAGTATTTTCATTGTAGACAACTTACGACATCCATTTTCAGACGTAGAGAATTTTTTAGAGATGATTGAATGAGAAAGAAATGAGAAGATTAATTGATATTGCGATCATACCTTGCGCCAATTGTGCGCGTCAAAGAAGTAGTAGGTGCCGCGCTCGTACGTGGACGTTTTCTCCACCATCGGCATGCCGGGCGCCTGAGAGATCCACACCTTCTCCTCCATGTGATACCGCCATTCGCGGTTGTATCTGGAGCGTAAAATGAAAAGTTAAGCAACAGACCACATAACATACACTGCTGGCCTCCACTTTACAAACGATATTAGGGTATTGTCCACACACAACCCCATTGTGGACTGGCGGACTCAATATATTAGATTTTTTTTCTCTATTATTTCAAAAAAATGCAGGTTTCCCTCACGATGTTTCCCGATAATTGCCGATATATCGCCTTGAAGGCTGAGCATGCGATATATCGGCAATTAAAATAACTATTTCATTGGCGCCGTTACCGGGATTAGAACTCTGGTATACTGACGTCTGGTATACCAGACACTGAGCTATCTAGAACGTGACGAACCAAATTACAACTCGACACCCATTACCAAAATAACGCGACTTTACACCTTGCCTTACTATGCAAATTGTCAACAGCTCAATTTTATTATTATTATTTTGCTAATTACGGTTGACACGCCAGATTGGCGTAGTGGATAGTGAACCTGTCTATTATGCTAGTTTCGGGGTTAGATCATTACTGGTTATGTTGAGTGAAAAACAATGTTTTTCTAAATGAACATCATAAAAAATCCCTATACTAATTATATGTTAGAAGTTAGATTTGTTGTCATTAAAAATAGTTTTCTTGGGTCAAATTGCCGTCTTATTATTTCTGTTTTGTAATTTTACTTACAATTCGGCCGCCGCTGCTATTTGTAGCACGTCGCCAACGAAACAGTAAAACAAATAGAACAAGAGGTCTTCTTTATATCGACTTAGTCGTAGGGGCGCTAATTTTTCTCTAATAGCTCCGTTAATTAGATATTCGGGTGGAACATGATAGTCCATGTCTTGTGGCCTGAAATGTGGAAAAAATTATGTTGGGTAAACTTATTTATACATCTATTAATTTAATTTTTTTTGGCAAAATAGCATGCGGCGGACTTAACACCATTAGGCGTTCTCTACCATTCTTCTGACAAATAAATAGAGAAGATAAGGAGAATAATGAAACTTATGGAACATAAGTTACTAAAGATAAGTAAAGAACAATGCCCATTTTTGACCTGATTGTGTATAGAAGTGAAATAAATATTAAAATTTAGCCAATTTCATTTTAAAGTAATTACACTAATCACAATGTTAAAAGAAGGTCGGGAAAAAAAATATTTTTTGATATTTCTTTACGCTTATTTTACTTCAAGGGTAATCATATTACCATGTTTTGAACGCACCTTAACAATCCTTTGCATAGGACGTTCCATTTTTCACACTACCTACTTGACTGTATTCAACTTTTTCTGAGTTTTGTACGTGATTTTACGTTTTAGAGAAGTGAGTAAGCACGTAATTAACAGTATTTGTATAAAAATTAAGATCAATCTTATTAGTAGTACAGATTTATTAAAAACAAAATAATAAATTATTAATGCAGCATGTAATAAAGTTCGCACGGCTGATGTAAATGGATTTTTTTTGACATTTGACAGTTCTGCGAGTGACTCATACTCATCATCGGTATTCGCCAGTAATTGTGAGTATTTATGTTAAAAGTTAGGCAAAAATAAACAATCAGAAGTGTTCATTGGCGTATTCATTGAAAACCGCCAAAAAAGAAAAGAAGAAGAAGAAGAAGAGTATTTATGTTTATTATTTTTAATTTAAAATGTCAATCATGTCCTAATCAAACTAATAAAGCTAATATAAAGTATACCTGTGACATAACACAAAGAACTGTTCAAACGATCTATATATCCAAAACGTGTATTATGAACTCAATATGTTTTTTTATTTCAGATTACTGAGGAAGATTACATTTGTAAATCTTGTAATGAACTCTTTATGAGAAGAATAAACCAGGAATTAACAGGCTGTGATGTTGCTCAAGCTCAGGATTATCTCAACCAGGTCGAAGAACACAGTTTTTGATAATCCTTCAGAAAAGCAAAGACAGATAAATGCTATTATACAAACAATATATTTTTAAGATGAATAATAATTATTGCTTTATTACTTCTTTTGTAGATATCATCATCTGATAGAATATGCCATTCATGCTGGATGAGTTGTAAGAGTGCTGCCACACATATTAGGCATTATCGCTGAAGTTTGTGGTGTTTCTACTACTGAAAATAATTTATTTTTTATGTTTCTGAGATTAAGTTATTAAGTCAACTTATACTATTTGCATTAGGTATCAATTAAGGCAAGCCAAATCCTATTTTGGCGAACATATGCACTTTCATTTAGAACTTATCGAACTTTCATTCGGATCATATAGAATAGAAATATGTAGGGACACAGGAGTTTTCTAGGAATAATCTGAGAGGAAGTGGTGACATAACACTAATAAGAGGAAAAATTAAGTCCTGGCACATTTAAAGAAAACAATATTATGTCTACATTTTAATAGAAAATAATGTAATTGTTTAGTTGGTTGGCGAACCATAGGATGTTGTACTCATGTTATGACTAGTGTGGTACTTCGGATGAACTATCAAGAAAATATCTCTGTTATTGCAGAATTTCTGGACACATAGTAATAAGACATTTAAGTGAAGATGATGATAGTTAATAAAGCATTCCACTGTAACATAGTGTCTTATTTTTTCCCCCGTTTTATTCATCAGGAATTATAATTATCGATTATTATGTATTGTAGTGCAGGCCAATGAAATGTGTAGGGCAGATAAAATATGATCACTTTTAACTTAAGTTTTTTTAGTAAGTTGTACTTATGCGAGCTGTTGAGACAGCAGATAATGCTCTTCACTCAATTTATAGTGACAATAATCGAGTCTAAGCAGTGACGTAAGGGCAATCGGTTTCTAGGAATTCACAAGTAAAAAAGACGTTTTAGACCTTAGATAGGCTAATATTATTATTTTAGAATAAACTTGAGCGTAAATAGTTAGTTCTAGCACATTTATATCGTTATAGTAACTGCAAATCCTAACCTAAAAAGTAACATTTTTTAATAATTTTTGGACTTCGTAGACCAGCAATCGTAAAAATGACTATATGATATTAATTTACTAACTTAAAGGTAGTCTTTCTGCCATACCTTGTAACTATACATACACATTCATTATCAGGTTTTTAAATGTATGGGAAGTGGGCATTGTTCTTTGGTATTACAATTTTCAGTTACTCTAGAGAAGAGGTTTTACTTTTAATGCTGGCTTAAATTGTCTTCAAATGCACTAGAAGCATTAGTTATTTGAACAGCATTTAAGCCAGCACCTAAAGAAAAAACATAAATTAGATAGATACCTAAGTCTTCTATTAATGTGACGGATTTCCATATAGACATTCTTGATACAGAAAAATCACACAGTTCAATCACAGTGTTAAACCATGTATAGGCGATAGGAAAAGAAATATCATTAAGGATGATAATAAAAGAAAAATTACCTGCAGGGCGTATCCGCCCAGGGTCCAGCAAAAGTAAGGTAAAGGTTGTCAGGTGAGTTTAGATTTAAACCGAGGGCAGTTAAGTCCTGGCCTAATGCTAACGATACCAGACTGGGGTCGGACTCCGCTGCACGGATAAACGTCAACAGTCCCACGATACCGAACTGGTTCGGTATCATCGTCTCCGGTATATTCGTCACTTTGCCTAAAAACCAACAACAGCTAAATATCAAATGACTGACACCAATCACTCTCACCGGTAATATGTTAGTACAAATAAGTACATTATATGACATTCGCGAAACAATGACAGTAGCACATATTATATTCAACTCGTAGACTTTGATATACACACCACAGAACTCCTTGACTAACAACTTTAGGGACAGGACAACCCCAACAATAAGTTATTATATTTGTCCAGTAAAAATTAAGAGCATGTGTTACTGACATTCAAATAAATAGGAACAATAGGAGTCGGAAACTGAGACGGTCCAAGTGGACAACTGAGGAAGCCCAGCCCAAACTCTTGGCGTCTCATTGTTAAATTTGTTAGGATTGTTGGATTGGTGGAGCGTATCTAACTTGGAAGAGAAGACTTCAATTGTTCCTCCACACCGCGGTCGTTAGGACTTACTACCCAACCCCTTGTATACAAATCATAATCATACCATCGGGGGAAGTCTGTATCCCTTTCCTCGGCTTGGCGTCGGTGTGATTGGTGTATTCTAGCGGCTGGGGGACGTGCGTGGGGTGGGCGGGTTGCGTCACGTGCGGGGCCACGTGTTGCGTGGCGTTCGCCACCGCCGCGCCGCCTGTACTCGTGCCCGGTAGCGCTGGGAAGTCCTCTGATGACATAGTGAACTCTGATTGCTCAGATGTTGGCTGCTTCACCATACCCACTGAAATTTCGACATCGGTCCAGTGACTACACTACGCAGTCTGTGCTAATGTTGACAAATCTGATATAATGAGTTTTAATCTTTTTTGATGTTAAAAAAAAAACGTTGATATTTACTATTATAACTAATAAAATGTAAATTTTCTAAACAGTTGTAAAATGTTGCTTGGTATGATATATGAATGAATTTTAAAAATTAGTATGAAATACAAAGAGTTTACTATATTATAATTGAACTAAACTTTAATATCAAATTGTTAATCTCATATAAATCCAATTTAAACAAGCAACTGTCCTTTTTTGTCAAGCAATAACTCTACTAAAGTTATAATAATTATTAATAATAATCAAAATGGAGTTGTGTTCATATAACGAAGGATATGCTAACCGTAAGGTTTAGAGCCAGGTGGAGGGGGCGCCGTGGTCGGTGCCTGGTCGCCGGCACCTCTTGCTGTTAGCGAAGGGAATTCACTAAGGTCTAGTAAGGGCGGCGTTGACGTGTCACCTCCCTCGCCGAACACAGAATGGTAGTTACTGCTTGCATTAAACCTTGACAGATTCGCCATACTTGTCTGTGAAAAATAATTAACAATATTGACAGATACCAAAGAAAACTTTTGTAATAAGGAAAGTCACAAGCTACTATCAACAATTAAAGAACTGTTTTAAACAAAATGAAAAAAAAAATTCTAACAGAAAGCCATTCCATATCAACCAGAAAGTATAAAATGGCAGTACCATTTTTACACCTTTTCCAACACATTTACTTATGTTAAAAAAACCACACCTTTGTCACAAAAAAAAACAAACAAATAATTAAGGCCTAACAGAAACCTTATCATTTGTTATTGCCAAACATTATCTTTATCGTGTGAAATAATGGCAAGCTACATAAATATTATTCTAACCATAGAATTAGAGTTAGCCTGCGATAAAGGTGTTGGTATTGGTACTCTCCGATCCGCAAAGGCTCGCTGACCGAAAAGTGTTGATCTTGATGCCATGGTTGGGGGTGCGCCTCCCGGTATCGCTGTGGAGTTCCGGCCGGGCGACAGCGCCCCGCCAAACGTAGGCGTCACATGGCCAGATACACCGCCGACCAGTCCTGATGTCACTCTGCCTCCCACACTGACTCCACCTACTCCACCACTAGCCAGGCTTCTAGGTGCTTGCTGAAAATTCAAGTTTGCCATAACCTGCAATTGAAAAAATTACTCATAGTTCTATAAACTAACAATTTAATCCTTCATAATATTTAGAGGAATAGAGTATAATATGTAAGTAAATAATTTAATATACTCTATGTAGAAAAACATACATATTTTTTATATTTCAAAATAAATTGTGTCATGTTACAATTAATAGAGAGAAATACTTTTTTATATTTTCTTTATAGTGCTAATCTCTGCACTTAAGATTGAACATTAAAATATGTAGAAAAAGTACGTAAAGATTGTCGCCGCTGTGGGAATCAAACCCAAGTCTTCGGCATTTGCAGCCTGACACTTTAACCACTAAGCTAAACGGCTGATTGCCACACCAACAAAAATCTTAATGTCTTTTATGTACATTGTTAAATCCTTTCCAGCATACAAACAATTAAAAATATAGTTTTACAACGATAATTTGAAAGAGAGATGTCGCCATTGCTTTTTAGAAATTGTAAATTTCTACATATTTTAAAGAGATACTTTTTATACGAAGTAAGCACATCGAAAATGTTATTTAATGATATTCAATATTTTAACTGGTACATAAAGATGTCAAATAGATTTCCATTTCAAATCTAATATAATAATTTATCATCTCAGTATACTTTAAATTTTTGTAAGGATATTTGAACTATAAGTATGTTTTATTATTAAAAAGAAATAGAAATAAATACTTAAAAGTACTTTTCAGATTAGGTTAAAATTTATTTCAAAACTCTGGACAATTTTTTTATTTAAATACTTGTGAGAAATATACCTGTATGCTGTATGAATATGCTTCGCTTTAAACCTTGTAAGTACTTACTTGGCAGGATAAAAGGTATCAGCTGTATTTTGTTAGCATATATTGGGTCATATATTGTCCAATGTCAAACAGATATTAAGATAATCCAGTATTTTTACAAGAACTTAATGCAGAGTGCATTCTTATATTGATAAGTATGTAAAACCTAAAACTTTTTCACTTGACCTACATTGAGGAAGAGTATTCTTTCAGAAATAACAATGATACATTTAATTTTTAAGAAGGTATGATACCCGACATTAAACGCAATGTACATATTGATATCATAAACTAATAACAAAAATAGATTACCATATGACAAACCATCTTGTCGCGATGGACAACATAGCGTTCGTCAATAATAACATAGTACGTATTATACGTAGATCGAGAGGGTTATTTATCCGTCTGTCAAACAATGGCGACTCTGGAAGATGTTCTAATTTCAGGTCCTATTTAAAAGCGTAAATATTTACCTAATGTGTCAACTTCAGCCCTTGTACCACTATTTCAGTAATAAAATATATGGTTCATAATCGTATGTCCCCAACAGAAATAAATAAATTCTCTTGAATGAAATAAACAAAAGTTTGTTGACTGTTCAATTTCTAAGGCAATTTGGGTCCATCGAAAATTTTATTCACCAACTAAAAGCATATGTACGACTGTCTTTTTATAAAACACTGCTATAAAACGTTGAAAACTTTATACATTTTTGTGTCGGTAATATAAATTTTAACAATTTCACTCAGATTTGTCGAACGCCACATTACCCTAAACAACTGGCGGCCATATTGCTAAAAGCGGAAACTAAAAAAATACCACTCGCACAACCTACGCGTTTCATTTATATAAACTTTCTGAACACTTGCATTTACACTTTAAATTAATTATAATTTTTTTAGCAGTCTCAATTTTAAAACAACTTTTGAGTTTTTTAGTAGCACATAATAAATTTTAATCGGATACTTATTTGACTCTAATTTGTAATGACGATCATTTTTAAATTACCCTCCTAAACATATTTGTAACTTTGTAGGGAAAATCTAGGAAAAAGAAATATAAGAAAATGAAACACAACAAAGTTGATGATCAAAACACCTGACATAACTTTTACGAAACTTCAAAACATAACTCTTGCCTAATCTCACATATACTTACAAACCTGATGATGTGGAGAAATATTTTGATTCAGTACACGTTTCTTCATCTTAACCCCTTCAATACCTCCCGATTTACGAATCATAAAAATGTCCCACGGTACAATTTTTATTTTTAGTTACGCTTTAGTATGCACGAGCAAGAAATATATTACAAGTTTTCTAAAATAGTTTTTTAACAATACCCACAAAGTAGCTAAACGTTTTATGTATTAGAAAAAATATGTACAATTGCAGTGTTCCTCTGAATTAAAAAAAGGCTTACAAAGTGGTTTTATTTTTGTTGTTTTATCATTCTCTTCCTTTTTTAGTTTTTATTTCTATCTTCGACTATCTGGTTGTTTATTCCAAACACGGAACGATTTCAATGAAATTCCTTAGCAAGAGAGGATATTTTAAAAATAATTTAAGTGTAATCTTCTCAAATGTGAATTTTTTAGATGTCGCTGGTATAAATTTTTAAATGGTTGAATGAGAAAATAAAAGATATGTACGTAACATTTCCTTATAAAAATATATCGAGTGTCACGCTTATTGCTCTTTTTAAGATTAAACCTGTTTCGATTTTTTATTTAAATATAATAATATCGTTCTTTTGTTTTCTTGAAATATATTCATTTTATCTGTTAATGGACATATTTATTTAAAAATTTCCTGTAAAAATTAAACACTGTTATATATCGTTTGTATGCATGTATACCGCTTAATTTTTGTGAAGTACTTAGCTTTTAAATGTCAGTTTAAGCCTAATGACTGGTAAGTTTGTTTATTGTTGCGGGTTCGTATTCCAGTAATACACTGGAAATTTAACTTACAAATAGTTAAAAATTCACGGTTCTTCATATATTCTCTTTTCTTTATGTCTGAGCTCAAGACCTTATCTCTTAACTTGTTAAGAATATAACTTAATGAAAATTAAATAACACCAACTATTGTTTTCTACATTTTAAGGGTCAAAGAAGACGTAAGTAGTAATAATGCGCTTTTCGGATTTCAACAAAATCATCATGTTTTGAATGAAATCTCTAAGTTCCTTACGGAAAAGCAAAAGTCGAAGTTTCCGATTTACATTGAAAATGAAGAGAACCACCAAAATTTTACGATTTTGTACGTTTTATAATTTAAGAATATCAATATATTAAACCCATATATCATGAAGTTGATATTTGTAAATTCTCATTTACACGATTTACTTCTCTTAAATAAAAATTATCAAAAGAGTTGTCTATGGTATTAGTGGGAGAATTATACAATACTTCTGGCAAGACAGAGGATCATATGATTGTTCAATGAAGAAGCACGTCTGATAGGCGTCGACATACTTCTTCAGTCCAGTTTTTAATTTTCTGGCTCATTACCGGTTGTTTTACGTGTTAGTGGTGTTAAAAAAAACCATCAGCCATGGCGCTCAGCGATGCAGATGTTCAAAAGCAGGTAATTTCAAGAAAGGGCATGAAATATTACTAATACGACACAGATATTTTAACAAGTTAGCTTTGACAAAATGATTGATCCCAGTCACTGTCCCTGAATCTGCCACTTTTATGTTTTAATGTTCAATATGTTACTAGCAATTACTATAATGTGGTTTGTTATATTTAATTCTCCAGATCAAGCATATGATGGCCTTCATCGAACAAGAGGCCAATGAAAAGGCCGAAGAAATCGATGCAAAGGCGGAAGAAGAGTTCAACATCGAGAAGGGTCGCCTGGTCCAGCAACAGCGACTCAAGATTATGGAATACTATGAAAAAAAGGAGAAGCAGGTTGAACTCCAAAAGAAGATGTAGGTTTCATATAAGTTTTTCGTACTTGACCTGCTCTCAGCGTAAGCTCGACGCATGTGACATTCTATAGTCTATGAATTTAAGGAATCTACATAAATTGAATTCAAGAGTCCTGATTCAAGGAATCTTCTTGGAAGTTTTACTATATCTGGGAAGAAGTTTCTTTATACATTTTATTAGCATTTTTATACATATATATTATTTTATTTATCCCATAAAAACTGTGATTGAACTATTACTTTTAACAAGTTTAATAACTAGTCTTAAAGAATATGTTTTAAAATCATCATCATTTTTGTTAATTACTTGTTTCTTACACTTTACCTATATCATGAAAAAAGATATATAGAATAGTTATTAACAAATAAATCTCTAGCAAGGATACAATTCAAATAATTTCACAGAGTAATTTACTTTTGGATATTGGACTTCAGTTATGTTTCTCCAAGTTTTTCCTTAGGCATTAAATTTCACAGTAGTTTTACATTGTAGTAATAATAACATACATATGTTTTATAATTAACCTCATAAGAGCTAGGGTCCCTTCAAAATTAACATATATTTTTAGTGATTCCGTTTCTGAACTTTTAATTTAAACACCTAGCCTTGATTGATCCCCGGAGGTCCCTTTAAAAGTTAATTAAAGTTAAAAAATTAGTCTCAATTAAAAAAATACTTATGTTATCTGTTACTATGACACATAAACTATTGTAGAAAGCATTTTGATGTTTGACATAACTGATTGATTTGTCATTTGTGTCATTTGGTTACCTTATTCCAAAAGGGTATGGTATAGCAAACCCTTTATTATGTATGTGATCTTGCAATTATACCAGCATAATTTTATACAAAACTTATTCATATGATCCTAATCTGTATATTGATGATAACTTTCACAAATTTTAAATTATGTAGTAGTTTCAAAATCATAGTACCATGCAAATGACTCTCTGCCTTATTTGAGATTGGTCAATTTAATTTTTCATAAAGGATTTCTCAAAATATTTAGTTTTCTAGATATTATTATTTTGTTTTCTATATCTCTAAAAAAGAGTTACAATAATGGAGAAAGCGGTGTCATAGGAAGGCTTATTTAATTTAATAGAAAATTTCGTATCATAAATTAAATATAAACTTACTAATAATAACTACTATCAATTTCTTATAAAATGTTACAGTATTCCATTATTTTAGATTAAATTGGTACATTCAAAAAGTATGTGTGGATTGTTGTCATTTGTTAGCATTAATTCGATGATACTACTAATTTAATTAAGACTTTGTTTTTACATATCTGAACTAATAAAACTAATCAAAGTAGAACTTTACAGCTCCTTTCCATTGGATTTTAAGGAATATGGCATAATCTTTTCCTTAATGCCTTTCTATATTTTGCTGGTAGTCAATCATCGAACATGCTGAACCAAGCTCGTCTGAAGGTACTCAAAGTACGTGAAGACCACGTACGCAACGTACTGGACGAAGCCCGCAAGCGCCTGGCTGAGGTGCCGAAGAACAACCAGCTTTACACGGATCTGCTTGTCACTCTCATTGTTCAGGCTTTGTTCCAGGTACGATTAATTTAAACTTTTATCTATTATATCATCACTTTTACTTTAGTTAAAAGCATTTTACAAACACATTACAAATGTGCAAAACATAGATGGGTCATGAAAACCAATTCCTTACTTGTTGCCAATCAAGTGCTCGGAAAATAAATAATTCACAAGTAATTTACACTTTGTATCCAGCAAGTGGTTTAATCCGAGGCTCGATAATAAATAAAATTTATAACATATTGTATTATAAGTACAAAACGTAAAAGTCAATGCGGGTCTAATCGTTTTCTGTCTTACCTTCCATGGTCTTATTAAACATGGTAGGGCACGTAACAGTCTTCACTCTTGCACGAATGGGCAGGCTCGTCCGTGTACCGCGACCACAAAGAAGATTGGCGTGAAGTGGAAGTGTTATACTCCTGCTATTCGTCTGGTGAGTGAGGTAGGGGGGCCTACTTTATTGAAAGGTGGCAACGCATCTGCAACCCTACGGGTGTTGTAAAAGTCATGGGCGGCGGTTATCACTTAACACTATTTGATCTGCCAGCTCGTTTGAAATCTTCTCACATAAAAACTACAATATTTATGTGTATCACTTTAAATGTAGCGACGATGTTGTTATCCGTATTTTCTTAATGTAGTTTTTTTTATGGATTTCGGCACTAGACGGTACGCAGAACCCTTTTGAGGACGTAGGGGAAATGCCTACACATACTCGGCCTTGCGGAGCCAAGGGCGGACTATGTCGTACTCGTACCGATTATGTTCCACCAAGGGCGCATATTGACGGGGTCAAAGGAACACTTTACATACTTCCAAGGGGAGCCACCCCTCTGGTAAGGCGCATATTGCCTCTGCTGTACCGGCGACCTATATCCCCGAGCCCGCTGCTCAGAGGCCATAGGAGCCAGCATCCCAGCCCCGCAGCGGTGGATCTGCTCTGTGGTTCCACCGCCTTCTACGTTTCAGCCGTGGAGTTTGGGGAGTACGGCGTATAGTAATACCGACACTCCTCTCCCCCCGCAGGCCCACCACTGCTGCATCAGTCGCGGTAGGATGGGGAAAGTGGCCAAACGGGGAGTGAGGAGGGTGGGGGGGAGCGCAATATCCTCCCACTTGAATCCACCTCAGTGTCAGAGGACACGGAGAGTGGTTCCACTTCTACCGCCCTCATTCAGTCCCTTCTTGCACGCATTGAAGCCCACTAGTAGCGGCCTTTATGTGCCGGTCTTTACACCACAGCAGTGGATTGGTCACCCACGGCGAAGCTCTCCCATTCGGCTTGACAAGGCGTTCGGTGGGGACTATACGTAAAACCCGACTTCACTCGGGAACGCTTAAGCTCTTCTTGACCTATTCAGTATCATGAGACAGGCTGCTAATATTACATAACATTATAAGTTGTAACACAAACACTTAGTTACTTGACCTTCGATGCATTTAGTTATCTCTCGATTTTAGCGCTGTCGATATGTATCTCATATGCCATAGTTTTATCAATCATAACGATTTATATTTCCATTCATTTATCATAATTTTTTTTCTTTGTTTTATTTTATTACACACAAATGTTAATTTAATGCAAGGTTTGGTGAATGAATAAAAAAAAAAAAAAAAAAATGACCGTAAATAATTTTGGATATCGCTGAACTTGGCAGTGTCAGTGTCTGTGACTTCATGTGCTTTATACTTTAACAGCTGATGGAGCCAACAGTGACCCTCCGCGTGCGGCAAACCGACAAGGCCTTGGTGGAATCCGTAGTCGGCAGGGCACAGACCGACTATAAGAATAAGATCAAGAAGGACGTGCAGTTGAAGATTGACACCGAGAACTTCCTGCCAGCCGACACCTGCGGTGGCATTGAGCTCATCGCCGCCAAGGGACGCATCAAGGTAATAGCGAATTAAAGATGTTTATCGATTAACTTAGTCATCTTTATCTCTCTCTCTATTTGCTAAGACCAAAATATTATGTCAAAGATGGATGGAGGAACTGTTATCTCCAATATTAAGTTCTACCGCCTCCTCGCGGTCGAAACGCAAGCCTCGAAGTCGGTGCAATCAAGTAACCACTTTTAACAGATATTTTGATACTCTTAACTTCCAGTCGTCTAATTAAAAAAATTAATTAAACCAACAATTGTTAATTGCTAAATTCCATAAAATTAATTTATACGGAACCCTTGAGGCGCGCGTCCAATTCGCAACTATTTTTTAAAAGGTGGCAAACAGGCCACCTCTAGCTAAGAATTTTAATGATTTCGTGACATAGTTGCCAAGGTATTGGCTTCGGCGTCGGGGGCTATGGGTTCGATCTCCACATGGGACAACTATTTGTGTGACCCACAAATAGTACTTTCGCATCTGGGTGTTTGTACGCGTGAAATTTATGCTTGTAATACGTTCTTACTACAGGATAATATTATCTTAAAGTAAGGGTAATGTTTTTAAAGGAAAAGAAAGAAAAGGAAAGAGAAAGAAGTGAACTGCTGATAATGGTCACCACTGCCTGTAGACTAATGCAATAGAAAGATCGCTTGTGCATTCCTCGATTTTGAGATGGCAGGCCTTTGTATGAATACTTCAGTTTTTACCCCCCTTGTATTCAGCGGATGCATATGAATAAAAGCTTGTTCACAGACAAATCTGTAAGTCTTTGTATTGAACTTAAAAGGAATTGTTATACTGGATACAACACAAATACACACATATTTGAAAATCTCCATAGATTTGCAAGCATTTATTTAAACAATCTATTAACTTACTTGTTTCTTTTTTAATGAATGTGGTGTATATTACATTGTATATTACATTTGTTGTCTTTAATTGGCTCACTGTGGGGAACTTTATGCATCGCCGATTATTTATTCGAATTGATGCCAAATATCTAATTGCAGATTTGCAACACCCTGGAGTCTCGCTTGGAGCTGATCGCCCAGCAGCTGCTGCCCGAGATACGTACCGCCCTGTTCGGTCGCAACCCTAACCGCAAATTCACCGACTAAGCGCGGTGATTTAATACACGTTACTACTAAAGATTTATTTAATAATTGGTAGAACTAATATTAATTAAGTGTTTTTTTTTTTCTTTTTCCTTCGCCTAATTAAAAATGTGTTTACATTATGTAAATGCATACAATTTTATCGCTGTTTAGAATGCTACTATGAATGGAGGCCACCGTTAGAGTCGTCAGAAAATACAATTATAATTTAAATGTGTGATCATGTGAGATTTCTGATACCTGGCATCCACCCACTGTAGTATCAAACGACGCTGTGCATTAGTTTCGCCTTAAATTAATGTTAATTAAAAATAATAATAATTAATTCGATTCATTCATGTAGCCCCATTTGTATTTTAGGGGAACTTAGCATGTAGGCTATTTGAAACAGTGTATTTATTGTAATATTGCCATTCTATGAAAATTAATCAAATATTCTATGTACTGTTTCAACGTTAAATGTTAATTGTTAATGTCCAAGTTGCAGTATTAATGACAGCACAAGTATGGTAGTCAATGCAATTGAATGGTTGATAAATCTTAATGTCACATGTAATCTTCCTGTATTATTATTATTAACTTCCATACTTCCAAGAGCATTTGTGAGGAATTATTTAGGGTTGAAAGGTTTTGGGACGATGGCAGCATCCTATGCTGTGCCCACCCAAATCGATGCGAAGATTTGGCTAGGAGCAGTGTAGATTCGCTCTAGAACCTTCCAGCAACAAACACATTCCTACCTACTGCCTCATCCTGGCATTACTACGCCTTGGCTTGCTTCGACAGGTGAATAGCGTATATCTAATAAGGTACAACGTACAATTCCCATTATGGCACTGTTAAAATTCTTATGTAAATATATAGATGTGTTAAATTGGTCTTTCATTTTGTACCTTGATCCCTTTCATAGGTTTTATGTGCTTTATCCCAACACATTTATTACTAAACATACTTTCCGAATTACAATATAGGAAGCGAAAACAAGAAAATGTTACTCTGAATGGTTTATTTGAATAACATAAAATTAAAATGTTTCTTAAATGTATACGAGAATTTTATAGGCACACAAGATAGAAACTTTTCGTAAGTGTATTATACGCCAGTTGTTATTTTGGTGGATAACATATAAATTGAAAATAAAAAACAAAAATAATGTTCACTAATTTTTTCTAATAAAGAAAAATTAATTCCGGTTTCAATTTTAAAAACGTATTCTTACATTTAATATCAGCTTAGTGCCTAAACATAAAATCTATATCGACGGAACATCCAAATATTATTACATAGTGCCTTTTTTCAACTTAGTACCGATACAGATTAACTACTAATGATTGAAGAATATTTAACACCAAAGAAATGGGGGTTTTATATCCCAAATTTACGTCACAGCCAATAAACTACATTGTACAGCTATTTCATCGTACTCAAAATACCCATCTATGATTATTTTGAAAATTATTTCATTTACATGAAGTAATAGTATTTATAATTTAATATTACACATCGATAAATAATCTAGTTTACGTCGAGAACTCACTAATGAATTAGATAAAACATGATTGAGCTCATTACTAGCCTACTACTGGGAATAAATGCCATATTAATTGCTCTTATTATACAGTTTCGATAAGCTGTTTCTATTGGAAAAGCGCTGTTATAACAACTTGTTTAATGTTCTCTTGGCACTCATTTGTACGTCTCGTATGCGTGTGCTTTGAATGTAATTCGTAATATCCCTGATGGAAATGCCGCGAGAACATTTGATACAAAATTCCGTTTATTGAGTACATAACGCATTTAAGAATGAAGTAGTAACAGCTAAGGCTCTGCGCAAACGAGTCCGGTGTTTGGCCGCCACGATAAGTAATACCCATTGACGCGATTTCAAGCTCCATCCGCTGTGAATGCCTTCAAAATATCATAGTTGTATGAACTGGCCACCGGTGGCTCCTTTTGCAGATCCATAAGTTGACCAAACAAATAAAGACAAACCGCTGAATCCTACGAATACTCTACGAATTCCGGCGAACTTTCATAGTACCGCGTCATAGCCCAACGTAGAGTCTATATAAATCTAAACACTTATTATCGCTTTTATCTACGCGAATACATTATTAAATGTAAATATTTAACGGAATTTATTTTAAATTCCTGAAGTTTCGAACACTTGCATTCGTGGGTCAAGTTCCAAATAGTTTCATTTGATACTTTCAATAATTTAGATATATCGAACTTAAGCAATATTTAGATCGTTAAAAACTTCAAGACGATAATTTAATCTAGACAACAAGATGCGACACGTCGGGTGTGTAGGCCGGCAAATATCTTGGCACACGAGGCTCGTCCCGTCTCCTTGCTCCCCGGTCCACCGCCAAACTGATGCTTCCAGCTTCCTTCACACCGTTCGACTTCGCCCGCCGCTGCGATGGCAGTATCGAGGCCCTCAGCGATTTTCGCTTCTGAAAAGGGGGGTTCCGTTAATCGATCAAGTCAGACGACCCGATTGGCGTAGTGGGTAATGACCCTGCTTCTTGCGCCAGAGGGTGTGTGTTCGATCCCCACTACTGGAAAAATATTGGGTAATGGACATAGTCTTTTTCCAGTGTCTGGGTATTTATAAAATGTATTTATTTACAAAAGAAAAGTATCTTTAAAAATATCAGTTAGCAGCTAGGCAGTTGCGGATTTGCCCTACGGTCCAATAGGTGGCCTGGCGTCCACTTAGGGTCCAAAAAATTTACTAATGGCCATAGAAAGGGGCGGCTGGAACTTACTACATGGGCCATAGAGTACCCATAGTACAGTTGTTTGGGAGAAGGAAAAATTGTGTAAAAATGTGCCCTGAAATATATATTCATATTATTTATCTCGAATCGCGTTTAAAAAAAAGCTTAAAAACTCATTAACTACTTATAAAAACGTCAAATTCTTGTCCGAGAAAAAACGGTGAGTGGGGCTAAGCTAGAGTTCGACGGAAATCAAGAAGCAACATAAAATTGCAATGCGTTTATTGTACATAGATATATAAGCGATAAAATTTTTATTTTTAAAATATTAGTCGTTAACAAAATATCATTCCGAGTTAATGTCGGGAGGTTTTTACATTTTCGTCGCGATACGCTGTTTTTCGACGTGGTTCGCCCCGATCTTTGCGCGGTTTACCTCGACTGCGCCGCGCCATCTGTCGGCCGCGTGGCGCGCTATCTCCATCCGCTTCTGTTTCCGTATCTGGTGACGCTTGTAAACCACCTCGATGACGATCAGCACTATGCCGCCGATGATACCCGCCAAAACTAGTATGAAAACTCCCGCCATGTTTTTAAGCCCCAGAGTGTTCGGAGTTTTCTCGTTCTCTTCGCAGTTGAGCATGTTGTTCCGAAGTATCCATTGGTTGTCTAAAGACTCCATGATTCCACCTGTAGGACGCAGAATAATAACATACCTAATGTTATGACTATATTTATGATTTATTAATTTGGAGAAGAATATTTAATAGTGATGCAATGGAAGTAACATATCGGAGGCAGAAACAGAAACAGATATAAAATACAATCTTAACGGAAACAGAAACGTATGCAAAAACGGAATTGTACATGCATTTTTTCATAAATTAGATCCTAAACCAACGCGCAAGCGCTACACCCCGGTATAATATTTCCGTTACGTATAAAAGTTCGTTGCTTAAACAAAAAACAAGAAACGTAGGTAAAAAAGCATTCGGAACTTCCACAGCTGCGGAAACTTAAGCAGAGATCTGTTGCATCACTACTTTTTCAGATTAAAGTAAGGTAATAGTTAATTTTAAATAAGTTTCGCTACAAAATATTCTAAATCTCGCGCGCTTACTTTCATGAAAGTCGAGAATCGCGAGTGTAACTAAATCCGCCCACGGGGACCCCTTTTGGAGGCCAACACCGTAGCCCGATCGACCGAACAGCTCACCCGCCGTCACGAGCTCGCAGTCCTGAGCGGCCTCAAACTCCAACCGAGAGGAGTCCCAGATGAATGCCATCAGTTTTCTATAACATAAGTTGAATGTTTTTAAAGTTGTTTAAGCAAAACTACAAACTTGTTAAACCAAGATTACAATATACGAGCGACGGAACACTGTATAATCTAAGGAGGGAGGAATTTTTTTCTTAGTTACCTATAAACATTTTATCGTTTACAATGTTGCTGATATGATACTTTTTTAATGTTTGATGACGAATCTTTGTGAAGATACAAGCTCTAAACTTAAGCTGTAGATTCGTATCTAAAGCTTAATACAGCTGTATCATATTAAAAGTTAGATGATTTCCTGAAAGCTCAGCCGGCATGTTTTGTAAATATAAAAAAAAATGTTTCAAGGATATGTGAAGTGTGCCAATGTCCTAATAACCTTTGAACAAAAGAAGCATTTGCCTAGCAATGGTACTTACACGTACAGAGACTGTTACTTTACTTATAAATAAATTCTATGCCATCTATGATGAACTTAAGTCCGACGAATCTACATACAACTGTGGCAGGGCCACGCAAGTCTTTGCTGCACGATTTGGAAGCCCTTCGGGGGTAGTACCACGCGTTTCTTCTGGTGAGTGAGGTACGTTGGGCAACTTAACACACTTACAGCTGCGCCACCGAGGCCACCTACTACGATAGACACCTCAAATTAATGAACAATTACCCATTTTTCACGTCTTGTATGGCCTGCTCTGCGTTGTCGTAGTTGTTGGCTTCCATCGTGCGATACATATTCGATAATTCCACCTGCCGCCTGAAGTACATGTCCACCGCAGAGCCCTTCACCGTTGCGCAAGTCAGGTTCTCCATGGTGTTGCGTAACTGTTGAATGTTATCTTGTTATTGTTATACATATTTGAAATTTAAATTTTTATAGTGCTAATATCTACACTTAAGAAGAAACATTAAAATTTTAAGATGAACTTTTCGTCCATTTTTTCTACAAACTTTAATGTCATAAATATACCCTTTTTTTAACACTCAGTCTAGGTTCACCTCCCACGAAAAATGGACACAAATTACAGTGGAATAAGGCCACATGGCGTGTAATAGTAGTTGCATGGTGACCACTTGAACTGTATCTATATCTCAAAAGTCCAACTTTACTGATGGTTGACGTGAAATAGTTCTTAAATAATGCGCGTATAATCTACATTTTCTGTTCGTATTTGAACTTTACCAGGAAACAATATGTACAAAGAATATAGATTTATAATAGAAGTTTTTTTTTAATTTAAGCTCTTACTGAAAGTAAAATAAAACAACCACCCGTTCCCTGAACTAGAACTGATTGCAAAAGAACTGACAAGAAGCTCAAAACAAGTTATCTCTTCTTTTTAATGTTGAAGAAGAGGAAGTTGCTAAACAAATTACAAGTTGGACAGCCATTGGGTGTATGCTGAAATATCTAACAAAATTTTGTTAATAATATTGGCCATGTTTAATAGAGTAAACCATAGACGCCATAAATACGGACGTATTGTAATTATAGTTCATTCTAGTCGATGTAAAATCTTGTTTGTGTAATATGTTCATACTCTCGCGTCATTTATCCCGGTCAATTTGGTCTTCGGTCGCTCGAGCACGAGGAAGGCGGCCAGGTTGGCGGTGTACGAGGCGACAATGATCATGGCAAATCCCGCCCACACCATTCCGAGCACACGCGCTGAGAAGCTGCGGGGTGTTCCTTAAAAGGATTGCAAATATAGTTACTTTACGGGCTTTGAAGCAGTTCTAGTTATTTAAAAAAACACATGTTTGGCCAAAGTTATGCAGTCAAAAGCTATGTTACGTCGGAGAATGGCACTAGATAAATCTCGAAATATGTTCGACTCTACTTCAATTGTATTAGTGACATTTTTTATTGGAATTTCTTAAATCTGGCATGAGGAAAAAGACGATTTATTGGTACAAATTACTTCAGGGTGTGGAAGAATTATTAAGGTAGGGAGAACTATTTATATTTCTTATTATTTATTTACAATTATGTTATTTATCTTTCCTTATTAATCCATATTAATTTACCTTCTCCAATACCACTGTTCAGTAGCACGCCCCAAGCAAACCAAATTGCGCTGGAAAGGTTCAGAGCATCTTCCTCCGTCCCATCGATGTTGGCCAATTTAAATCTTCCGAACGGCGAGAACCTGTCAAGCAGGTACAACACTAGCGCCACCACGTGTACCGAAACCATCACTAGTATCCATAGCGTGTTAGAAAACGGTTGCAAGAACGATACCAATGTCGAAGAACGCGAAGGCTGCAAATTCCAATTTTTCATGTTAATGGGTAATTACTTTTTATAACCACTGGTCAGGAAGGAGCCGTGATAGCTCAGTGTCCGGGCGCTCATTTTTAATTCAATATACTCAAGCAACCCGAGTTCGATCCCTGGTGCCGGCACCAATGAAATTGTTAATTTCAAGTGCTGACTTATCAGCAGTGAATGAAAACATCGTGAGGAAACCTGCATATTTTCGAAATAATAAAAAAGTGTGTGTGTACTTATGTAAACTCGTAAGAAGTTATAATCCTTTGGCGTAAGAAGATAAAAATCTCAAAAATTTTATATTTCGCCATATTCTACGTTTGTAGAAATAACGATACTAACAATAGAAAAAATGTATTTAATACATTGAAAGTTTTATTATAACGCATTGTATAGTTAAATAAAGTTTATTTAAATATCGCAAAATAAATATCGTGAATACAGTTGTCAGTTCTCACGCAAACACGCAAACGTAGATGTCTAGCTAACTTCAGGGTGTCGGTTTTTCGTGACGGTGTGTGCGCGCATCGTAAAAATTTACTCTCATCATTTTTCCCTAACGCGCCAAAAGAAGTATAACTTCAAAAAAATATTTCCAGTGTGAAGTCCGCCAATCCGCAGAGGCCGCGTGGTGGACTATGCTCTGAAACCATCTGTACAGAGTAGGCCTTGGCCCAGCAGTGGGACAGGCCGTTACTTTCACCACTAGTCAAACTAATAAGAATAATATGTTTATGTGGTAGAGTAACACTATTGTTTTTATGAGCTGGCTGATAGAAGAAGTGCTGGGTCTGACAGAAGAGCCTACCTACTTTATGATTTGCAACGCAACTGCGAACCCATGCGTGAGGAGATCGTTCACGGACTGCGGTAATCGCGTAACATTAATGTAATGGACCTTCTTGTAATTAAAATGATATGTTTCCAAATTACTTTTCTTGTATAATATTTACATGTTTTGTTTATTTGCCTTAATATAAATCTGTATTTGTAGTTGCAGAATATTTGTATAGTTAAAATAAATGAGGCTCGATTTTTTTTTTCTGTAATAATTTAGTATTTCCCTAATAAATTAACATGTTCAGAACGTTTTATATCGCAAAATCTTATAAGTCTGTAGACCTAAGAAACATTAAGATGCCGATGATCTTACTCTTTCTTCGTAGTTTTTTTACGAAAAGTATAAGATATACATACGCATGTTCATCATTTCAGCCTGTTTGAGTCCACTGCTGAACATAGGCCTCCCCCACAGACTCCCCATACGCATGTTGATATAATTTAATTATGAATAGGCGAAATTCATAAATAAATGTAATAAATTAAATAAATGTAATAAATAAACAGTGGAAGGGCCAGGCAGCAGCCTCGGTTATTGCACGAATGGGCAGGGTCGTCCGGGTATGTCCCGACCACGACCTCACAGAAGACCGGCGTAAAATGGAAGTATAATATTTTTGCGTTTCGTCTGGTGAGTGAGGTGGCCGGAGCCCTATTTTCAAAAGGCTGTCAACACATCTGGAACCCTCGGGTGTAGCAGATGTTCATGGGCGGCGGTATTCACTTAACATCAGGTGAACCGTCTGATCGCTTGACAACTCTTCACAGTAAAAAAAAAATATAGTTTTTATTGCTTCACCTTGAAGATTTTCCTCTCTTTTAGATTATCTTATAAGCAAGACACACCGTGTGTCTTTCCTAACGTTATAAACTAAAAAATAGTGACCAGATTTCCATACGGTTTTCAGCAATAGATGGAGTGATTCATGAGAAGTTAAGATCTGTGTGGAAATTGTTTGAAACATGACAATTATTGTTGAGATGTCAGAGAAAAAGATGCTGCGTGGATAAATCTCAGTGAGCAAGCAAAAAATACCCATGCGCCGCCAGGTCGGATCGCTAGTAAGAAATAAATCTTTCTAATCAACACTACGTATCTAATCTTAATATTTAACTTGTGTCAAAGTGTTTGAGAGTGATATTTGTAGCGATAACGATTTACCTTCTTCTCCAATATGGTTATGCCCTGATATTTGAAAGGTTTACTGAATTCGATGAACTCGGCCCGCTCGGGATTAATCGTGAGTGGAGCTACGATCATGTCGGCGCGTTCGTAAACCAGTTCACCTGTATACGTTTGAGTTTATGAAAGCCTTAAAACAAATTGTGATTTCATGAATGTCTTGATGTTTTGTGACCTATATTTTATGACACCAACTGACAGATCTTTGATTTCTTTGGGAACAGAAATAGCCAGAGGTTTCGACATTAAATAAGTTGGTAGCAGGTACAATACAAGTGTCATCGTGCGGACTATTTATCTACTAAACTAACATGTAAATCTCTTTAAATCTTCTCTCGCTAAATATTAAGTTTTTCATTTTGGTTAATTGAGAACTGTGCAACGCACAACGAAATATAGGTTCTTTCGCGCACTGTGTTTGTACAGCATTGTTGCTGTCGAATTAAATATAAAATGCATATCTTCTTAGTCATTGTGACTAGAAATTAGTGTTTTATTCCTTTTTATTTTCACTTAGCCATATTTCCTAATTCTTCTATTTCTAAGTGTTGACTCTCAGATATTTAACGTGAGTGTTAGCAACAGAAACACGGTGAAGTTGGGCAACAAATGCTTGTTTACAGGGTCAGATGTAATACAACATTTTCGCGTTATCACACTTCTTAAGAAGAATTAGCACTAACTTATTATTTTTGCTCGCGATGCAAATGTTGTTCCATTCTGTATAATAAGTTGTAATAATCATAAGTGATGAAAATATATCTTCCTGCTTAAATTAGTTTACTTTAAGAAAAAGTCTGTCGCGTTACATATCATTCCGTGTGTAAAATAATTAGCACATTTTCTATAGCTGAAACATTTCCTACCTGATCCAAAATAAATTATTATTAATATGAATATGATAAAATAAATATAAAAGGTAATTTATAAAGTTTAAAGAAAGTTACTATTAGTACTAGTAGTAGTTACCTATGAGTCCAGTCCACTCTTTCTTAGCTCCCGGCACGGAGAAGTTACGTATGATGTAATTCCCGAACTGCCCGTCCGGAGAGAGGGCGAGCGAGTATGTGAAATTGATTGCCTTGGACAGATAGCGTAATAAATCCATGCAGAAGCCTTTGCAGCAATACAGGCGGTCTGTAGAAGGGAACAATTTTTTTTTTCTTGTCAATACCCAAACGCTATGAACCAAGGGAGGCAAACATTTCTCTATATAAGATCTTTTTTACACACGTGTCGCGATTTACATTTGGTTATATCCAAAATAGGGAGGGGCAGATGTGAATAATATACATGACCTAAATACTGGAATACTACTAACTTGTTTACTACCCCTGCTATACTCATATACCTAAAAGCAATGTCAACAAGCAGTAATGCCTCTCAAAAGATAAATATTACATAGTTATATTAGCAAAACGTTTATTGACTTATATATTATCAACAACGGTTTGTTTATTGTATTATTACGAGTAGCTTGCGCTGTTGCACGAACGGTTAGGCTCGTCCGGTGAAGTACCACAGCCTCGGGATGAAAAAGTAATATGCTTTTGCATTTCATCTAGTGAGTGAGTAAGGTTTTGCCAGAACCTAATACAGGCGACGGTTCACTGTTATTAGGACTCACGTCCTAAACGTAATATGCATTGTGATTGTTAAACGGGCCAAACAAAACCACAAAATTGAGAACGCATTTGATCACGCCACTGTGTTTTGATAGTAATTTTACTATCGAACTTTTATACTAAAGAACTACAACATAATATGTATTAAAAATGACTAGGAAAAAGAATAGGTATAATTAATAGCATCAATATGTACAGTATAATTTTTGAAATTAAAATGAACAACCAAATTTAGCGTGATGTCAGCCTTTTTAATATTTTTTTTACGGTGATCAGGTTTAAGAACGAACCTGAGAATGATTACAATACTTATGTAAAAGTTTCTTCCTTTTCGTGTTTGTATTTTAAAAATTCAGTATGAAAATTAATTTCGATCCTTAACTTAGGACAGTAAAACTTGATCTAAAGATAAATGACAGGAAATGTTTAATCTAATGTTAGTAATTAATAATACTCACCAGCTTCCTCGCTAGAGTTATAATGCGGACAAGGTATTTCCTCGGAAGTACATAGACTGTCGTCATCTACCCGACGCGCGTACACAAATGGCTTTTCTTCAATAGTCAAAACCTGCGTTCAGATGCTTTAGTTAACGATAGAAAAGGAATCGTAACCGTAATATAGTATTAATCTAAAGAACAAAGGTTAAAAGTACAGTGACAAGCTGTACAAACCTTTCTGGTTATTAATAATTTAATTTAAATAGAACTCCATTCCAGCAGTACCCAACTACCCATATTTCACATTACAACTTTATTAAATTACGTAAGAATGATATAGAATTTCATGACACAAGTCGTGAAATTCTATGAACGGCAATGGTCACAAGCCATCAGATTCTCACCCGAAACTAGAAACTGTTTGTATGATCCTCATAAAAAGGGTTTCGAGTATATTTATTTATATAGAGTATATTTATATAATTAGTAATGTTTAGAAAATAAACCCTTACATCAAATTAAGTTTTTGTTTAAAAGGAAAAATTATTTGTCACCTTGAGATGAGTCGGTATCATAAAACCCTCGGGCTTTGATGAACTTCTTCCCATCCAAATGATTTCATGCTCTTTCAATTCTAGGCGCATTTTCTGTGGCTCCTATGTGGGATTAGAATTTTATTTAATAGAAATGAAACGCCAACTCCAGTCTGATGCCCTAGTAATAAGAGTGTTTAAGATGACTAAGAACTCTTATAAATTAAAAAAATAACAAGGGTAAGGAAACAAAATAAGCCGAATCATAATTAAAGTGAAACTTCTAATGTGACTTCCGACAAGTTTGCGTTAAACGTTTAACGCTACCATTGACGGGGTATGAAAGCACTGTTGCGTTACGTTCAACGCTCCTGGGGAGGGGGAATAGAAAGAGACAGAGCGAGAGTGAATGCGTGGCTTTCGAAGTTTCACTTCTTCCGCGCGGAGAACCTTCCTTTTATGAACCTTATTTTATGAACCAAGACTTCCTCAATAAGCTGGAGCGTCTCCACAATAACTGTATTAGGTATATTTCCGGTTTACGTAGTGATCACGTATCTCAATATCGCTTAAATCGCTTATTATTCGTCAAAGAAGTAGTTCAAGAATACTTATTACTCTCTTCTATATTCTTAATGACCCTGCTTCTCCTCACTACTTAAAATCAGATGGCCACACTAATATTCACATACTGTAGTAGACTTACCTACTTATAGCTTATATAGAAGCTCCGGCCGCATATACATCCAAGCTCGAACAGTGAAAAACCACGCCGTTACAAAAAAGGGGGTTACAGTAAAATTCATACTTTCGCGTTTCATCAGGCGTGTGAGGTATTTGGAAGCCTACATTTCTATACTAATGCCTATGGCTCGCTGCTCGCGAGGTAATAAAAGTAGAAGCAGTATTTCGCCTGTTGTGCTCTGTCGCACTTACGGGTCTTACCGGAAGGCAGAGTGTAGTTAGTTAGGAGTATGTAGACCTTAGTATAATAGTTGGGATGCACCAGCAACGTCTCGGGTGTTTCGAGTGTCAACCAGGCCTCACTTACATCAGGCAAACCGCTCGCTTGGTTATTTTTTCTTTTTTTTTTTAATAAAAACGTGCCCTTCCTTTAGGACAACATTATCCTGTGTCGTAAAGACGTTTTACAAACACAAATTTCACGCGGACGAACTCCCACATGCGTAACAACTATCTGTGGGTCACACAAATAGTTCTCCCGTGTGGGAAGCCAATAACTACGCCACGGAGTCGTCAAACACACTGCCACATGTAATGGAAATGGTACCTTAGAGTAGAAGTATTTCCCCACGGCCACGTGCTCGCCCTGGGCGCGGACGTTGACCATGTCGTACTCCGCATGCACCCTGTCGCCATGGTCGTCGAAGGCCACGTGGCCGGTGGCGCCGTTCTCCAGGCTCTGCCGTCGTATGTAGTCGAACAGCAGCCGCCCAGTCGTCCAAATGGACCCCGAATTGTCGCAGTCAGACGGCGGAGCGTGGATCTCCTCCGACGTGTTCATATCACGTATCGCCGACGCCAGGACATAGCTTAAATAAATTGCACAACACACTCCCAGAATACTGATAAACGACGGCCGTTCGTTAAATATAGGAAGTATTCAACGAACGGCCGTTAGTTACATAGCTTTGTAACTTTCGTGACGACTTGTAGGAACGCTAGTTACTCACTTTCCGTAGGTAATAAAGTATAAAGTAATGCAACGGCTCGCAAGGAAAAGGCCTCATTTTGTTAATATAGGAATCGGGCGTACACGCCTTTTATCTACAAGTCGTTATGAAAGTTACGAAGCTATGTAACTAACGGCCGTTCGTTGAATATAGGAACCGGACAAAAGTGAAGTTGACCGTTAACTAAAACAGTTTTACGAAATCCGTCACGTTTACGTTCATGCTTAAAAGGTTTCGTGACAGAAAAGCTGAAATATTTTTATTTATATACTGGTATGTATATATAAATAATTAAGGCAAGTTTTCGCTTACATCTTCACAGAAATTTATCCAGCTAATTATGAGACAGATATAATTATATGCAGTGATTTAAAATTTGTAGAAAAATAGACGAAAAGTTGTGGAATCAAAGGTATCTACGTCTTTTGTAACCAAATAATTTTTAAATATTACTTACCTTACTGTTGTAGTAATAAGTTTGGTACCTTCGGCTGTTGAAAGAATAACAGAACTCGAACAGAAAAATGCCATGTCCCAGTGGAAGACTGACGGGGGGGCCGCAGAAAAAGACCATTGGAAACTTTTATGTCGTACCCGATGGATAAGACAAGAAGAATTGCAACATGAACAGACAGCACTTCTGCGGTTCTCCGTTTATTCAAGATCACTCACCATCGGGTGTACTAATGGGTGTTAATGCGTGACACACGGTTGCCCCCATCAATTTAAAATCAATAGTACATACACGTGTGAATGTCTTACATGGAATCCTGTATATGTGCACGTTCGTTAGTTGCGTTCACAAGACGCAATCCAAGGAGTCCTTCAGGGGCGTTGGCGGCGTCCAGTGCCTGCTCGGTCACCATCCAAACGTAGCCGGTCGTCGTCATGTTTAGGTACGTGGCGTCCCGGAATATTATTTCCGCATCGGTCTTACTGTAACCGACAAACGATGCAACACGTAAATGCTTAAACGGAGGTTGGGGTGCTTTCGATATTTGTGAGTTTTCTTCGATCTTGGCTGGCATGTCTATTTATGAGTCCATTACAAACATTTATGAGGTTTTAAAGGGCTATATGGTTCATACTTTTCCCTTTGGTATTATCAAACTTTAACAACATGATTCGGATTTTTCTTACTCCTAAAATCACGACATTGACTAATGTCCAGCAGCGGATTTTCCTATGGGCTGAGTAAGCCCGAACCTAGAGCGGCAAGTTTCTAATTATAATCTAGGCGATTTTTTTCCCGTAGGTGACATTCCGTAAAATTATAATAAAACATGCGGCTTCTCTTCGGCTTCATGAGCAGATATTATTACCTGACTACTTCATTTATTTATTTGTGCTTTATAGGAGTAGGGTAGCGGCAATCTGCCACTGCTAATACCAAAAAACAAAGGAGAGCAGTTAAAATGTCTATGATGATGTCTTTGAAAGTTTGAAAATAATGCTGTTTACCTTGCGTACATCAGAAATACTCTAGCCTGGGCGCTTTTAACATCGATTAGTCTGTCACTAAACGAGTCCAAGCCCGGTTCAAACTCGATCACCTGCTCGACAACTACTTTGCGATCAACGTCTTCGTCTATACTTTGAGATGTAGTTTGAAACCTGTTGAAAAAAAGGAACATAAAAAGCTATAATATGAAACAACTAGTTGACCGGTGCAATTTTTGGCCGATCAATCATAAAAAGGAATAAGGGGTTTCAGTCTACTTCTTTATCCTTTGAGAAATAATGTATAAAGATTGAAAGTAATAAGGTAAAATTGGCCATAAGAATTCATTCATTCATATATGTTACTGGAGCCGCGATAGGTCAGTATTCGGGCGTTTGCTTTAAATTCTGTATACTCGAGCAACCCTGGTCCTGACCCAGTTCAAATCCTGGTGCCACCACCAATGAAATCGTAAATCTTAAGCTTAATGCTGACTTATCACATGTAAGGAAACATCGCGAGAAATGCTGCATGTTTTCGAAATAATAAAAAAAACAATTATTGCAATGATATGTAAAGTCTGCCCGTCCTCAGTGAGGTCGCGTGGTGGACTATGCCTAATACCCTCTGTACAGAGGAGGCTTTTGCCCAGCTGTATAGGACATGTATAGGATGTATGTATGTAAACATTACTTTTTACTTTTACTTTTTTGTTACTGGATTTGAGTCTAAGGTCTCCAATGTCGGTAAATATTTCACGGTGACAGAAATGCAAATGAGATTGTTAGATACATACCGCCCTAGAATCGCTCTGCCATCGGTATCAGAGCTATGAATGACGATTACTTTCATGTAATTGAAGTGTTTGAGAACATCGACCCAGACGTCAGCCTGATGCGAGTAGGGCGGCACTGTCCGTAGGAATGACACGTGTATGTTCTTGTCGGAGAAGGCGGAATCCCGAGACGATATTCCTATAACCGGTATATGATAGAAACCGCTCGTGTATGAAACTGCCGCTGGCGAGAGCTCCCCGGTCAATGGATGCGAAACGATCACTGCGTACACCTGAAAATTTACGTAACATTATGTGTTCGTGTTTTCAAGGGTCTGCTGGAAGAGAACTCTTTTTAGGGTTAAGCACGCCTTTTTGCATGTTTTCGTCATTTGTTCCAATTGTCTGTATTATAATTGTGTGTACAATAAAGGAAAAAATCGCAAATTTAAAATTTGTGTAAAATGGACGAAGCTCTTTCGCCGCTGCGATCTCCGCTATCTGTCGGCGGTTCAAATAACTGTCTCCAATAATTATCAAGATCGTTTCCAATTCTATATAATTTAGTGGTTAAGGAATAAACGTCTTTTTTAAAACTGTTTTCGAGTTTTTCTGTTTTTTAGAAAAGGGTCGTAACCCTTAAATCAGTACGCTGTCTGCAAAGCAAAAACATATTTTTTATTTTTTTTATGTACGAAAGTAACTCGCGAGGAGGAGGTTCATTAATATTAAATAATTACCGTCGCCAACGGATATTGTCAACACACGTGCGGTTGAAAATGCGTTACCAACCTTGAAAGTGTTTTTTCACGTGACAATGCATACGATCAGGTGGTTAACATGGATTTAAATGATTAACAAAAACAAATACGTTGCCTACTTTTAACAATGTGCCCCGGTTACCTTGCTAACCATACGCATTCTTAGCGGTCGTGGTACACAATACGAGACGGCCAATTTGCCCAATAGCAGAAGCTGCTGCACTACTCTACCATATTTGTGAATTGTAATGTGTCAAGAATATACTCTGTTTGAGAGAGTGGTATCAATTTTGGTAAATTCTGCCTCTAAAGATAAAATAAGTGGTATGTTGTCGCCCTAAATACGACGTACCAAATGCAAATACCTCAGAGCAATGCGTTAAATTGGTTATTATTAATAACTTATAAAAAACACAACTAACAGGTACAGATAACAGGTTGTTTATTGCTTCTTGAGTTAACGCACGGAAGGATTTTAATATTTTTTGTCTTCGTTGTGGTTTTAGTTAAAACCCGTGATACCCTTATATAACATTAAAATCATTGCAAATTATTAAACTTACTCTATGTCCAATCAAGTCCTTGCACACGTTCAAAGCTGTTTTGATTGGATTCGGATCCATCAGTATTGAGTAATCGTGGTACGTGACTCCTCGAGGGACATACTTGTCCTTAAAATTAAGATTCTGCAACGGTAGAATACAAAGTCTCTATAATTTTTATTATTCTATAATTTTTTTGTTTCTTTAATAAAAAAAAAACAGAAAATACGTCAGCTACTTACGGATATAGTATCCTTGAAGAAGGCAATTGATTCGTTGCTAGACAAAACCCCGCCGACATTGTAATATGTGGGATTGGAAAATCGTCTGCGGTCTATTTCCCCCTTTACAAAATGACCACACAGAGATAAGGCCAATGTAAGAAGTTGAAAGCGCATTCTATAATTATAGAATAAACTCATGTTAAGGAATATATTTAAAAAAAAAACTTTATCTAAAAAGAAAAGAGGCTACTCACTCGTGGAACAGCCGAAATTTGGATATTATAACTACAGCTTTGGTAATTCTCGCGAATTAAATAGAGAGAATTAATTAGTATAATTCATAAAGTGTACTTACTATAAGCTAGAGATATTACGATAATTATTGAAAATAAGTATTTAAATTGTATGAACGAATTATAAGACTTCATGCAAAAGAATGTAGGTATAAAGAAGTTAACACTAATTATCACATAAGTATATCTCACTAGTTTGTACTTAACATTTGATAATTAAATTTTGCACTTATTTAATATAAATATTTTTTTTATTTGAAGAACAAACTTTTATTGTTTAATGTATTTAGAAATTTAATAACTTACGTCTTATGTACATTTCATTCTTATTTTTTTAGTGGACTTAGATGATTAAGATAGATGAAAATAAAGAGATATTTTAGATTAAAAATATATAGCTTCAATATAATTCTTACCTGAAGAATAATAGAAAGTTTTTTATTTAAATTTACTCCATTTTCAGTAAAGGTTTCATGTTCACGAAAGGCGTGGTTACATAAGAAAGCATGTTTGGATGCTGGACCGGCAGATGGAGCCCGCATCTTGGGTCGCTATGGAAACCGCGCAGCCGCTCTGGTTGGGATCGATCCAGGCTTATTACAATTAGATTGATTTCGAAAAGCCATTTTTGTAATAAAAATCCGAGGTGTTTGATTCTAAGAATAATATTGTTTCTGTATATTTCAAGTTGGAGATAACTGCGTAAAAGCATTAATTGTATCGGCATTACACCATACTGACAACTAAAATATAAACATGTTTATGTGTACTAAAATATTTACAAAGACAAACCAACAACCATTAAATGAACAAGCCGAATATTCAATTCTGTGTCAAGCTTTTCCTTTTTTCTGATCTTTTAAAAGTTGCTGTTGCAATACACTATGTTACTGTTAAATAATAACAATTTTGCAGTATTTTATGAAGTTCTAGAAAATGAAAAATATCTAGAGATAGGTTTGTAAAAACAGCCGTTTTTTAAGTAAACATTTATTTAAATTCACATATTTATAAAAATATTAAAGATACTAAAACAATAATCAAAAAGCGTCATACCGAATGACAATCATAGTGAAAATTTTCGTAGGGATACGGTTAACATAACAATATTGTAATATTAAGCTCAATTTGCGTCCATGACTTTATTTAAAATATGTACGTGGGGAAAAGACCAAAAATATTTTTCACGAGATGAAACCATCACAATGAAGCTCTGAAAACTGTCTTGAGTTTTTACTAACATCTTAATTTATATATAAAACATCATTTATTTGTTTGTAAACAATAATGACAAAGTACATCTTATATCTATATAATGCAAACTATATCTAATATTAAATCCTAACGATAAGATATGAGCCATATTGTTATTTAAATCCCATGAGATGAAGCGTTTGCCGCCATAACGTTTCTACCACACCCAAGCGTTGGATGTGGACGGTTGCCAGCCGTTTGCCGGAAGCCAGCCCGAGTTGGGGTCGGGTCGCAGGGCCGCCGCTGCAGCAGTTGCAGAATGTTGCGCCGCTCCTGCGGCACCAGCTGCACCGGAGCTTTGCAGCACCGACAGCTTAATTGATTCTATATCTGGATGAATCAAGATTAAATACATGTTCATCATCATAAACATTTCAGCTTGTTAGAGGCTGATCCTGAACCACCTACGGTTAAGGTTGCCTGGAAGAAATTGCTACCTTAGCAATAAGGCCGCCCATGTGTACACTATGTTTCCAGTATATTCTTTCTGTGTATTTCCTTGTGTGTAATAAAGTATATTCTATTTTATTCTTCATCCATCGACTTCACGCACGTTCACACAGGTTTCATCTAGTGGGGGGTCATCCTACACTGCGATGACCAGTGCGATGCACGTTTATACTTTTAAAATAAAAGCCCCGCTGCATACAACACCGACAGCTTTAGTGATTCTTTATCTGAGAGAATTGAATGCAAATTCATTCTTTTAAAGTTACCTACATAGTAGACTGTTCGCGTATTTAGCTAACGTAACAAACATCCAAAACTAAGGTTAATGGCTAGTGGAAATTGTTTTAAAGAGGACACAGTTATGTAAATATAAAAATAAATTAGACCAACTCCTCACAAAGTAATGTCTATTTCTCCACAAATAGGAAAGAATAGCAGGGCATACAATATACATTTCTAGTGTATATAGTGGAGGCAGTGCGGTCTCAAGATTGATGCTTTTTAATCGATTGCTTGCTATGAACGATAAAATTTGTCGTTAAAAGCGCAACGAAGCCTGTTTAAGGCATGTTAAAAAGATTTTGAAGTGGCGAAAAGGCGAATCGATTTAATAACGAAATAATCACCGAAAATATTTCAAAAATCTTTTTTCGTTCTTTCGTCTACTTTAATTACATCCTCTGGACTACAAGTATATTATCCTATATATTATTAGTTAGTACTACCAGTTTTTGACAACACAATCAATAGAACACGTAATAATATTGCGAATTCTGTGTTATCAAGCTTTAAATTGTTCCGAAGGCTGGGAAGCGCCAACATAATCCAATCAACATAAAACATACTAAGTAACGAAGAAGAATAATTGTTTTATACCAGCGTTCTGCAGCCTAGCAGCCTGATTGTGGGCCGACCGCTGTATAGCTTTCGCGGCTTCTGCTTCCCTCGCTGCGGCGATCTTCTGCGCGGCAGCTGCTCTCGCTTTTGCCGATGCGAGCTGGGCTTGAGCGTGCACAGCAGTCTGTGCTGCCTCCAGAGCGCGTGCACGAGCTTTTCTAGATGCTTCCTCGCTGTCATTGGATATTACATAAACGGCTTAAATTCATATAATTTATTGAATTCAAATTTTTGTAAATATTGGTGACTCAATGGCACCGTTTCTAAGGCTTCGGCGTCGAAGGTTGGGTTCGATCTCAACATAGGTCAAGTATTTGTGTCATCCACAGATAATTGTTCCGGATCTGGGAATTATTATTTCTTCACGATTTATCTGATGAGTGAGGTAACTGAGGCCCAGTTTTTTAAGTTGGCAACGCATCTGGAACCCCCGACGGATTGGTATTATAAAAAACCATGGGCGTAGGAAATCACATCAGGGCCTGCTCGTATGCCAACTTTTAACATAGAAATATGATCGTAATGCCCCATTTACTACCTGGTGGTTAGTTTTGAACATAAACGATCATAATGTATAGTTTGTTTACTATGTGGTGGTTAGTTCTCTTTAAGCCTAAGCGATAAGACAACAGCAGTTTTATCCATCCACCTTTGGTGAGCGGCGTGCGCGGCTGCGGCCTCCTTGGCGCTGGCGACGCTCTGCTGCTCCAGGGCTGCGTGCTTCGCAGCCGCTACCTGGTGTTGGGCGGCCATCACCGCGGCCGCGGCAGCCTTCGCCGCCGCCACTGCGCCCGCCACGTCACTGCTGGTGTCCGTCGACCAGCCATCTGTGCGGGGCAATGAAATTATACAGCGTGTCGTTACAATCGCGACAATAAATGAACACACATATAGAGGATAACTTTTTAAAATTATATCAAACATTTACATTCTTTAAACATCAATATTTACTGCGTTATTGCTAAATGCCAAAACAAACAATTTTAGAACATCCTTACGTATAAAACTGTAACGTAAAGCTCATTTGTAAAGGTCACAAAGCATATGAATGGGTTGAATGAATTTAAAAGAGATAAAACATACTGTTAGAAGGAGAGATTTGTAATGCGGCGCTGTGGCAACGAATTAAAAAGTCTATGAATGTATGAATCAGTCAGTTGTAGTCGTATAGGATGTTACAAATTTTGTTTCTTTTTTATTTAATTAGTTGGTTTGAAAAATATTTTTTTTTAATTATGGATTTTTTAACGCTTATATTTTTTATGATTATTGGTAAGTAACGTTAGACGTGTGTTCATTTATTGTCGCGGTTGTAACGACACGCTGTATCCTTCAAATACGAGCTAGCTACGACACTAGCGCACCGAAACCGAGGCACTCAAATCACACGAATTGGTGTAATTAGCTTGAAACTATGGAATGACAACGTTCATCTATATTATTAAACATCATTGGTACGAGATTGATGAACGACGATGTAACGAGTACGAGTTATGAGTAATCAATCCCATGTGGGCTGTCATATGGCATAGTCCACTGTGGTAGGGCCACGCAATAGTATTCGCTTTTGCAAGAATGGGCAGGTCCGAGAAAGTGCCACGACGTTACAGAATACCAGTGTGGAGTGGAACTTTTATATTTTCGCGTTTTGTCTGGTGAGTGACATAACCGAAGTCCACTTAAATAAAGATGGCTATACATCTGAAATCCTACGGGGTTGCAAATGTTCATGGGCGGCGGTTAGGCTGCGCCATCTCGCTTGCCAGCATGGTATTCATGGCGCACACTTGGCGATATTATTAAAATACTCTCGGCAATACTTTTGGCAATATGCAATAATACATTATGAACTATGAAGATTTTTCTTTACATAAAATCGTACATAAGTAATAGTTTCGCATTTACCATTTCCACCGCTATTTATAAGCAGTGTGGCGGGAATGCCGCTTGTCTCGGAATTCCACCCCGACGATAATCCGATCAGGTTCCATTCGCCTGCACTTCGTTTATCTGTTTTGGAACTGGCAACAGCTGCGACCAGGGCTGCCAACATCTAAAACGACAAAAGGATAAGGGTAAAATGAAGATACAAACATTATTGCGGTGTTTTTGTTTTAAGAATTCGTAGTACCTATTTCATGAATTTGAACTATCCTCTAATATTATTAAATGACACGGTGATTGAATTGTGGTCTTCATATTAATGTAATGTGCCTTGTAACCTTTGAGAGTAACACAACCAAACAACCTAGTTAAAACGCAGTTATTTTGAAAAGTTTTCTTTTATTAAGTGACACTTTCAAATCAAGCTATTTTTTTTTCATTTATTCTTACAAAATATTTACATTCATTTATTCTGATAAAACATTTTCATTATATTCAGTTGAATAAAATATTTCATGTAGGTAAGTAAAATTTGCATAACGTATATATAAAATAGTAAATTTAACTATCATTGTAAAATCTAAATGAAACAAACTTACCAAACTTTTGAAAGCCATTGTACTTTGAGATGTTTGAAGAACAATATCAGATGATGTTATGATGCATGTCAGTTCGAAATAGTACATTTTATATGGTTTAAGACGGAAGACTTTCAGCGAAACAAAAATAGAAAGGTATTTTCCCGATCAATGGCTGTAATTGATCAAAACACCGAACCACGAGCAAACTATCATTAAGTTACTTACTTTCAAAATGTTTGCCGAAGTCAATCAATGATATAATACTCCCTTTGTCTTAGGTAACCTGATCACAATTAAGATATTTTGTAAATCTATAGGTGAAGATTTTTACCTGAATCTGATCTAAAAAATTCAGGGCAATGGGTACAATTAACAACTATGAAAAAGTTTATGTTTGCACGGCAAATAGCGCAGTTTATGAGAAGACGCCGACATATGTGCCGAATAAAAGCAAAATAAATGAACACTCTTTTTCTAATTATCTTAAAAGTCTTTAAGTCAAGAAACCTTCAACTCGCTGGAGGCAGAAAACTGCATCAATATGCAGACACGGGTGATTTTTTAGGCTCGTGCTTCGTGGCGTAGGGGTGGCTTCTGTTCAGTAGTGGATTCGGGCAGGCCAGGTCGATGATGATGGTGATGATAAGTTTTTCTTTTTAAGCAAAAATTTTAAAATAAGCCTAATATAGTGTATAGTAAATGCGCAGGACCCATCAGATCACTCATGTGTAAGAATAGCAACATAGCATTAAATTAGAATCGCGTGTTTTATACAAGAAAATATTATGTTTAGCAATATTTAGAAAAGCTCCTGAGTAAAAAAAGTTAGTTGTATCTACTGTCTTCATTTTACTTCAGTGGGAATAATTATTTACTGTCCTATTATATTTTTTATTTTAATACAGCCAAGTATCCCGTACGACAGAGTTTAAAATGACCTAAGCGGGTAAAATGAGTATGAATGATATATTAATTAGTTGGGCTGTAAGTAGATGTCGATTATTTATTATTAACTACAACCAGTCTGCAAACTATAGCGATGCTAGCGTCCGTCCTGCCATGTAATATGATCAGGTTTTACTTTTGGAGACACAAGTTTTACTCAGATTGTGTCTTAGTTAAAAGAATTTTTATTTTCATCCGGTTTTATTGGCGTAGTTTTACTAAATAAGTCCGAGTGTGTATTGAAATTTTAATAATACTTTTGAATACATATTATTTTTTAATGAAATTATGTAGTCTTAAAGTGAACAAAACAGCATACCTACCCCTGGTTGGGGTAAAATAGCATCGTATGTTCTCTGGGCCATATATTTTTTCTTCTTCCAGATAATCGAATATCATGCCTCGCAACTATTCTAGAAAAACACACCAACGGAATTGCGAGAAACCTCCACGGAAAAGGCTATTTAAATTGCGCTATTGAGCTTTAAAGTGTTAAATGTGCCACAATAGATTATTTGAATACATGCTGGTTCATCTTAGGTCGAGAAGCAGGTCAATACCACTTATAGTTGCAAGAAGCCCCGCCGGATAACACTACACCCACAGCTAGTGTATCAACAAACCCAATAGTTCGCACTGGCCTGCGAGCACGGCGAGACCAACACAACGCGTACTCAAGGTACTCAAGGTTCTCATCGCCCCCAGCCACCGATTAGGTAAAAACACAGTCGACAGCCATCGGGGACTCGGTCGGCACTGCAACCTCGATGATAGATCGCCCTTAGATGATATGCCGTAGTTAAACGCACGCATAACCACATGCGCAGCCCTACCCACAGCGGAGGGCCCAAACCCGTGGGTTCTGGCTAGCCCACCGGTTCTGCGTCAGATGAAGCTTTAATAGTCTCGGGACTGAAAGCAGAAACATCAGTTAATACAAGATACAAGAGTTGCAAGTGTATCAGGTATAGGCAGATCCGATACTAGTATCGGATGAAACGTATATGCCTTAGTCATATACGTTTCTTTCTAATCTGAAGGTAAAAAAACACACAAGAGACCACCAGAAGAGAAGAGGTATTGTTGTTAACTTCAGCGTCTAACATAAAATATTCAAGTCGAATACTAATAATAAAGCGAATATAGGAAATGCTAACGCAAGTACCGCTTGTCGACCAGTAAGTCAAAAGAAAAACACGAGAAAAGTTTCAAAAACTTTGGATTTTAGCTGCGACGATGAAAATGATTTCTCGTCCTGGCACACGGGCGCCTAGCCTGAACCTCGGCGTATTACTATTACGCGTTATGGTGACTAAGCTCCAGGGCTCCCGGGGGAGCCTCGGCTCGGGCCGTCACGCTATTATTATCACCGGTTTGGGAGGTCGCCAAGCTCTTAGGACGCTTTGGCGGGCGCTCCATGGAGTGATCAGGCTCAAGGGCTTGGGCTGACACTCAACACGCGTTTAGCATTCCGATTCGAGGGTGCCCGAGAGGACCGGACCTCGGCTCGATCGGTAGCTATTATCTGACTGGATTGATGATGAAAATTGTCTTTTCATTTAAGTATTGCAAATTCAACTCGACACACTCGACAACTCCAATCCGAGTTGGATTCGCCGATTGACATCTACGTCGAAGTTGGACTTACTTGGTCCTAGGTAAACGTACTCGGCAACAAATTCGAGCACAGTGCTGCCCGGTTCTTTCATTTTTCTTTCTTTTTTAAAAACATTTTTACAGACGTTTTAAAACATTTTTACATTTAACAGACGTTTTATAAACATAAATTTTACGAGGATAAACACCCAGATGCCAAACAACTATCTGTGGGTCACATATTTAAAAGTTGTCCCGTGTGGGAATCGAACCGATGAACCCCGACGCCGAAGGCAATACCTTGGCAACTGCCCCATGGAGTTATTAAGAACATATTCATGATCTTCGTCTTGTCCATGTTCATCTCAAGACCCACCCTTTGGAAGACATTTATATATTATGTACTATATTCTTGTTTAGTTATATGTATTATATTAGAACTAAAGAATATAGAACTACTTATAAGTGTTCAAAGTTATTATTAATTTAAAAAAATTTAACAGATTTTGTAAATAGTATGTGTCTGAGGTCGATTCTCGATGGCTAGTGCTCAGCGGTGAAAGAAAATATCGTGAGGAAACCTGCACATTTTTGAAATCATAGTAAAAATTGTGTATTGATACAGGTTTTACCATTAATATAAAGTGTGACGTTTTATTTGCTCCTCATTTTATTAGCTGACTTAAGTCACCTGAATAAGAAATAAAAAAGCTAGTCAGACATGGACAGTTATACATCCTATTCAGAGCATGTATTTGTGCAGGGCGCCGATCTTGTGTTAAGGCTAACCCAATACTGGTGAAATCCATGACTAGATGAATGGGGATAATGGTACAAAATGTATAAAAGAAAAATTAATACCCAATTTAACATCAAACAGCATCATGGTCATGTACAATGGTTCTTATCACAATATGGATGTGAACAAAATCCCGTCAACTCCCACCAGAAAAGCTGCGATACAAGAAAGGCTGCACGAGCGCGGAGTAACATTAGAAGAATTTTTTACGAAGTCAAGAAGAAATAAGCCCAAAAATACTTATCCAATTGACGCCTTGTTCGCAAAACATAGTGTGACCTTTGTTAATACAACAAAGGAAGGCGGACAAAAATGTTGACCAACATAATTCAAAAATTGAAAAGTTGACCAAAGACGCCATTGCATTAATAACATATTGCGTTTGGGAAAAGGAGATTAATCACGTGGGGAGATTGGAGCAGAAGTACGGACAGAAATGTGGGTAAGGAACTTGGAAGAATTCATTATCAGAGTGGGGGCCGAAAGTGAAACTGGCATCGTCCACATCATCATCAAGTGATAATGATGTAGAATTGTAGACGATGAGACCTCCCAAGATGCAGCCTTCAAAGATAAAAACATAAATTTATTAAATAATTCTACTCAATTTTTATTACATTAAAAATATTGTTCTTTAATTATCGTTTAATTAAATTTTAGTTTATTACTGTAAATGCCAATATCATAGCAATGATAGTGGCCTTTACAGTATCATCATCATTGCTATGATATTGGCCTTTACAGTAATACTATAGCTAAAGTACTTCTTTAAGTAACATATCTTTTAAGGCTGACCTAATAGAATTGAATGCAAAAAAAAATAATTTGCATGCCGATCTTAGTGCTCTTAATCACCGCCATTTAAAATACTTTTCTAATGACAGATTTATAGATTTTTCGTTACAAGCAACATTTTAAAAATGTCATCATTGACAATAGGAAAATATTGCATGGTAATAGTTTTACCCAAAAGCAGGCATTTAACGTACAGCTGATCTCTCAAACATTTTTTCTATCTGATTAAAAATACCATTTTTTTTTGTTTTTTGTTACTATATAATTAGTGTAAGACAAAATTATCTTAAAATTCATATAATCTTTACAAATAATAATAAAGCTTATTGGAAAGCACACAAGGGAGTCGAGAGTAGCAGTGTAGCGGTGTAGGGGGATAACAACATGAGAGAGCATCATGAACGTTCACTAAAAATATAGATGATTATAATATAAAACATAATTATATAGATTCTATATTATAGAACTACTAGGTTCTGGGTGATTACCCATCCACAATCGAAATACAGGCTAGGCGCCCTTAGCGCACAGCCACCGAAAGCCCGGTGGATTTGTAAAGGCCTTTTTATTATTTATGCAAATTATAAATACTAGCTTAACCTAATAACTAACATTTAATAAAATATTTACGTATTTTTTGGGGATAAAAATAATTCATCTTTCAAAGTTTTAGGGAAACTTGAATTTTAGTTGTATGCAACACCTACAAACTAATCATTAATATTCCGGTCCAGTTTTGCTGCAGATTCGATTTAAATCCACACCTACATTTTCATCTAATTTTTTTTGAATATTCCAAATTTTTCGTGTTTTAAATATAAAAAAAAAAAGATTTATTGCTACATAAAATATTGGTGCAATAAGAGGTACGGAGTAAATTACTACATTTACTCTTCTATACACGATTTCATTAAAATCATTTTTTTTTTCATTTTACATTTTTTCACATTTACTCTTCTATACACGATTTCATTAAAATCATTTTTTAAAAATATTTTTTGAGAAATTTTTCTTATGTATTGTATGAAATTCTAAAACGCTTATTAGCGTTTTCCATTTTTTCCCAAAACCAAAGAAACCGAGTAAAAGGTGTTACCTATATAGTATTGATTTTCTCTACAGTCGTTCAATTTTTCTAAACATTTTTTATAGATATTGTAAATATTTTATAATTTTTAATTCTATTTGATCATTGAAACTTAATTTATTATCAATAATTAATATATACATAATATATTTATCTTGTGGTAGTATTTCGTTATTCTTATGGTATTATTATTTTGGAATAATTCACAAATAACTTATTATAGCAATTTTTTTCAGGAATTAAATAACAATTAAAATGAGCAAGCCTAATGAGCCACCTAAAACTCAAGAATTCCAGTAAGTCCTATTTATTAAATGAACCATGTTTATGGATTTATCACATTTTTATTACTTGTATTTCCCTGTTTTGAATTCTTCAACATTCATGGTCACGGGACAGTCTGAGGCGTTGGACATCTGAGTGACATTGTTAGTCCGTCACTGCCAGTTTTTAGTTATAATTTTTTTGTTGATCTACACAGATCATACTTATTTTTCTTGTCTTTAAGTTGCGGGTCCTTTGGGCCTTGATTTAATTTTATTGATAATAAGATCCCAAGCTGATGGTAGCACCCAACCCTCTTTTCTATTGAAATTAGGGTGTTTTTTAATTTCAATATCCTTTGTGAATCATCCTTGGGAGAAATTGGTGTTTTTCAAGTATCTGTGGGCTATCAAACCCGATATAATGGTTGGAGAAATTTAGAGTGCGCTCACATACTACAGACTCGTTTAATCTGTTATGTTTTAAATCAGTTATATGTTCCTTCAGGACTCACTATTCTTACCAATTGTTTAAAATAATTGTTAGATGACATACAAAAATTATACACATATATTACATTAATTCATGCAATAATAATTATTTTAATGTATATGAGGCCAGTTGACATAGATTATTGAGTCAAGGTGAAATTGGTTAAGTAGATTAATTTCATAGGTGATTGATGGTTAATAATTGTATTTATTATCTACATTCAAACTCTTTAGTCAAAGTATATAGAAATGTTTTTTAGTAACAGTCAACTAATAGAGGAACATGAGGAAAACATATTATTTGGTGTGTTATGTCAGTAAAATAGCAATACATAAAAACGTGAATTTTATATGGTGTAGTAAATACTACACTTTAGAATCAAAACTGTGCATTATTTATGCAAATTATAAATACTAGCTTAACCTAATAACTAACATTTAATAAAATATTTACGTATTTTTTGGGGATAAAAATAATTCATCTTTCAAAGTTTTAGGGAAACTTGAATTTTAGTTGTATGCAACACCTACAAACTAATCATTAATATTCCGGTCCAGTTTTGCTGCAGATTCGATTTAAATCCACACCTACATTTCATCTAATTTTTTTTGAATATTCCAAATTTTTCGTGTTTTAAATATAAAAAAAAAAAGATTTATTGCTACATAAAATATTGGTGCAATAAGAGGTACGGAGTAAATTACTACATTTACTCTTCTATACACGATTTCATTAAAATCATTTTTTTTCATTTTACATTTTTTCACATTTACTCTTCTATACACGATTTCATTAAAATCATTTTTTAAAAATATTTTTTGAGAAATTTTTCTTATGTATTGTATGAAATTCTAAAACGCTTATTAGCGTTTTCCATTTTTTTTTTTTCCCAAAACCAAAGAAACCGAGTAAAAGGTGTTACCTATATAGTATTGATTTTCTCTACAGTCGCTCAATTTTTCTAAACATTTTTTATAGATATTGTAAATATTTTATAATTTTTAATTCTATTTGATCATTGAAACTTAATTTATTATCAATAATTAATATATACATAATATATTTATCTTGTGGTAGTATTTCGTTATTCTTATGGTATTATTATTTTGGAATAATTCACAAATAACTTATTATAGCAATTTTTTTCAGGAATTAAATAACAATTAAAATGAGCAAGCCTAATGAGCCACCTAAAACTCAAGAATTCCAGTAAGTCCTATTTATTAAATGAACCATGTTTATGGATTTATCACATTTTTATTACTTGTATTTCCCTGTTTTGAATTCTTCAACATTCATGGTCACGGGACAGTCTGAGGCGTTGGACATCTGAGTGACATTGTTAGTCCGTCACTGCCAGTTTTTAGTTATAATTTTTTTGTTGATCTACACAGATCATACTTATTTTTCTTGTCTTTAAGTTGCGGGTCCTTTGGGCTTGATTTAATTTTATTGATAATAAGATCCCAAGCTGATGGTAGCACCCAACCCTCTTTTCTATTGAAATTAGGGTGTTTTTTAATTTCAATATCCTTTGTGAATCATCCTTGGGAGAAATTGGTGTTTTTCAAGTATCTGTGGGCTATCAAACCCGATATAATGGTTGGAGAAATTTAGAGTGCGCTCACATACTACAGACTCGTTTAATCTGTTATGTTTTAAATCAGTTATATGTTCCTTCAGGACTCACTATTCTTACCAATTGTTTAAAATAATTGTTAGATGACATACAAAAATTATACACATATATTACATTAATTCATGCAATAATAATTATTTTAATGTATATGAGGCCAGTTGACATAGATTATTGAGTCAAGGTGAAATTGGTTAAGTAGATTAATTTCATAGGTGATTGATGGTTAATAATTGTATTTATTATCTACATTCAAACTCTCTAGTCAAAGTATATAGAAATGTTTTTTAGTAACAGTCAACTAATAGAGGAACATGAGGAAAACATATTATTTGGTGTGTTATGTCAGTAAAATAGCAATACATAAAAACGTGAATTTTATATGGTGTAGTAAATACTACACTTTAGAATCAAAACTGTGCATTCATTCAGAAAAATCAATCAAAATTCAGGAAAATCATCACAATTCATTGATGTTTCATGATTTTTCTATACAAGGTAATCAAAGAAGTTTTGTGTGTAGTGGAATCTGTTAAGAGGTTAAATTTGAAGGTCTTCCATTGATCAAAATTAAAGGGAAATTTAATTTGCCCGTTCATTTGGTTTCTATGAACAGGCACCTCCTCAACTTCATATCTAAACTAATTTTAACCTGTCACTGTGTATTAAAATTTGTTAATTCTAAAATGGACATTTCAGAAAGTTAAAAACTCAGGCTTACTTCAATAAGAGACCTTGTTGTTTTATGCGTAAAGTTTTAAATAAATGCTTTGCAAGTCATCCATTAATATTGTCATTGAAAATAGTTGCCTCATAATGTTTTATGGTACAACATTACTTATGCATATTGTAAATTGAGATTTCCCTAACAGAATAGATAACTTGCTGTAAAACTTGTCCACAAAGCCATTATTATTAAAGAAATAAAAATTTTTGTAGTGTAATGTAATACAGCTCTTATTATACAATCCTTATCAAACTGTCAAAATATAAATTCAATAAACATATGTTAATGAAACTATGAAATTTCATATGTTCACAAAAATATATTATAGATAGTATATAAAGCCAGTGAATTTCCAAGTATACCTTTTACATAACTTTCAAAATGTACAGAAGTGTAATATATGGTGGTGTTATTTATTGTATATTATTTATTTCTCTAGCTTTATGAATAAGATCAGAAAAAAATCTCCTTATTTTAAAGTGATATTATAATGATATAAATTATTTGAAATTTGTTATTTTATAGCTAAAGAAAGCTGAAATCAGGATGACTGTCCCTGAACCAAATCTTACAATTACAATTATGAAAATTACGCGTTAGATTACGTTAATAGTACAATCGCGGACATCCCTTTTGAAAACAACAAAAACTCACATTTTATAGACTAAATAAAAAAAATCAAAGAATTAAAATAACCTTGATTTTACTTGAGACGCTTTTGGCATGTTAAAATGCTGAGTCCGTTATGTACCTACTTAACGTGTTCAATAATAATATTGCTCAAAGATTATATTCTAAACCACATCTGCATATAATTTACTAAGTATCTATTTTTAACAGACTTCAAAACAGCAGGGGGTTGTATGTTCGACGGTTCCGTACCCAAAAGTTTTTCTATCACCAGGCTATATTTCGTGAACCGTGATATGTATTTTTTTGGCCCTATAATAACAAATAATTAAAAACAAAATAAAAAAAAAACATTTAAGTGAGGCTCCCATACAACAGACGCGATTTTTTTGCCGTTTTTATAGATAATGGTATGGAAATTTGCGTGCGCGATTCCGACCCGCACTTGCCTGGCTTTTTTTTATTGCTCGAGTTCTAAGCATATTTAAGTTAACATAAATTAATCAGAAGTGGGGTTTAAAATGCATCGCAAAACTTAAATGGTCGCTTGAAAGTTTGAAAATTTTGATACGAAGTTACATTCTAATACGTGCGCGTTATGAAATCTTTAACAAAAAAGTAACAAACATGACCACGCAAGCATTGAATGGTGTTGCATCGGTGAAAATACGTTTGCTTGACAACACTACATTATATGAAGCTTTAAAAGTCTACGGACTGAAATCAAAAACATGAGCTTAAAGTAAAAGTGAAAAAGTAAAAATGGTTCTATCAGACTACGCCTTCATTTCACTTCAGAGTATAATATATCTATGGACTGTATTCCCAAAATCAATTTCGTTATATCGACCAATTAGTATCTAGCGCTATTGAACATATCTCAACGACGACTTTGCAAAAATGCTGTCTACAACGAGGTACCTAACCTACATTCATGGTGTTGGCACAACATCGATACGGAAATTCGCTAAAATGCTTCATATCGATAGCAACATCGTTATTCGTTGTCCGCGGCATTTTTTGCAATAATATGCCGGCACCGTCACAAAATACAAATTAAACAAATAAATGAATAAATAAACATGAAAAAATTATTTATGTATCCATAGTCAAGCCCTCGCCTTTAACTTGTTTAGACGACATAATATTTTTTTAAATTACGGAATTACAACTTCCTCGGTAGTAAGGGAAAACAATAATCACTACATAGTATAAAACAAAGTCGTCCCGTTGTCTGTCTGTCCCTATATATGCTTAAATCATTAAAACTACGGAACGGATTTTGATGCGGTTTTCTTTAATATATAGAGTGATTCAAGAGGGAGGTTTATATGTATAATTCATGTATAATGTAGTAGAGAAACACTGATAATTTTAAAGGTTTCTAATGCGATGTCGAAAACAAACATTCAGCATTGCACCCGTGCGAAGCCGGTAAATAATATAATAGGCATAATTATATAATTACTAATAAATAATTATGTAACATATATTATGTTCTTTACTTATTTTTTTAATGCATGACCTGCTTCAATTCGCGGACAGAGTTTATTTGCTGAAAAATCCATTCCAGCCTCCTGCCGAAGATAATAAACGGCAGCATCGCGGGTATTGTCGGTGTCTCCGTGGTGTTCCCGATAGACTTGGTCAAGACTCGATTGCAGAATCAAACCGTTGGCCCAAATGGCGAGAAACAGTATAAAAACATGTGAGTGTTATTTTCTTACCCGACTGCCGAATGAGGGTAATGTTTTTCGAGCTTATGTATGTAGGATATTTTTTTATTCTTTGGTGCGCTCTACAGCCTAAACCTATTATTTAAGGTCATATGATGTGTCATTAAATTCGTCTCCGTTGTGAGAAAGACATGGATAAAGGTACTATTTTAATATGATGCTCGCGAAAAATGATATGTAATAGTTGTTATTTTTAATAGTTATTAGTAGGGTTCTTAGTTCTGTTTCTATTAATTTATTAATGAAATTAAGAAACCTATTATTCAATAAATTATGCCTGCATTTAGTACCTTTTAAACTTTGAGAATGTAGACAATATTCGATAAGTAAAAAAAATCTTTGAGTTAATAATAATTACCTTAAAATATTTTTTTAATTAACACGTTGCTGCAGAAACATTTTTAAATAAAATGAAATGAATTTAGTAATATTTATGACATTTTTGGAACGCCACGTGCGTTCCAAAGTAATACAATATATCTACATATTACATATTAACTTCGTACATTTGCTTTAATTTACGATATTTATAAAATCACCATAATATATAGTCGGACTTCATATACAAACAGACATTTATATTAGTATCTATATCGAGTTAATCATAAAATGTTATCATAATGACACGACTGAAATAAATAAACAGTTGCTTTGTAAATCTCACAATAGCTTTAGTTATCACTATCGACATTTTAAAATGACCTTTACACATCTGTTTGCGTAACTTATGCCACTAATATCAACTTGTTCAAATAATACATATTTATATTCTTTTTTATCTGATAGGTCAACATCACTCTTCGCTTTCGGAAGTAAAATAGCGTTTCCTAAATAAAGTCACATTCATACCGACTTAAACGGTGATGACTCGGCCGCTCAGTTGCTAAGCTATTGGCTTCGGCACCTGAAGTGGTGGGTTCGATTCCCACATAGAACAAGTATTTGTGTGACCAACATATAATTGTTCCGGATCTGGGTGCTTATTCTCAACGACGGTTGACGTCGGGCAGGCTTCGCAAAAAACCTAGCCAATAACATAAACAACATGTGAATCATTTTGCGTCCTTCTCTCTCCTGCACGAGAAACAAAGACAAAAAGGGTCTAATCCGTGTCCAAAATTTTATTACAAAACGGAAGACTATAGTTCTAATTCCAAAGAGCAGAAATCAACAAAAAAATCTCATTTTTGGTTTCACCTTGACTACAGGTAAAATTAAAGAAGAATTGAAGGCTGTTTTATTGTTTGTAAGGTGTTTTTCTAATTGGAAAGTATGCACACTAGATGGAGGCATTAGTGAAAAATAAAAATAAAACAATGAATAAAATGGATGGCTAGTAGTCCTTAATGAAGGTTTTAATTAAGATGTCGGTATCTACCTCTTGTTTAGGTTCGATAACGTCCCCTAACCCAAACATTAATCGTGTTTCATTGTGTACGACCGCATGTTTAATAGAGATTAAATGGATTTCCGTTTGTAACCAACACATTATACTGCGTCTAACTGACGTTTTAATTCCCATACAAAACTCTTTTGTACCGTAAATGAAGAGCATTTATGTGGACATTTATATATGGTTTTGAATTAAGTGATAGAAGTTTATGATAATTGCGGAACTTATCTCTGTATGTGTGTGTGCCTGTATGTGATGGGCAAGTGTTTATAAGTAATATATTTTTTTTATTGCAAAGGAGTGTATTATGAAAGGCACGCTTTCCTCTCACGGCCAGGTTGGACTGTTTCAAAAAGACGTACAGGGCTGAGGGCTACTTCGGCATGTATCGGGGATCCGCGGTGAACATCCTTCTCATCACGCCTGAGAAGGCAATAAAGCTGGCCGCCAACGACATGTTCCGCTTCTACCTCACGCGAAAAGACGGGTAAGTTTGTTTGGATGGTTTAGTATTGGTAAGTAATAAAACGGTGGTAGGGTCACGCAACAGTCTTCGCTGTTGCACGAATGGGCAGTTCCGTCCGTGTATGTACCACGGCCTCACAGAAGACCGGCGTGAAATGGCAGTGTTACACTTCTGCGTTTCGTTTGGTGATTGAGGCATCTGCAACCCTACGAGTGTTGCAAATGTCCATGGGCGGCGGTTGTCACTTATCTTTGAGTGAAACACTAGACAGTGAGTTTCTCACATAAAAAAAACAATGTGTTCTAGGTACTTATATTTTTGACAAAAGTGACAACAAACTTAAATATCATTTTAAATCCTACTTCTTACTATGGAGCCAAATGGAATTGTATTTGAAAAAATGTATTTGAGATATCAAATTAATTAATTAATTTATTGGTTGATAATTAATGAAATTAGTTTATTTAACTAGTCTGTCTTATTTCTATATATTTGTGACATCTAAGCGCAATAAAAGCCCAAAGGCCTAGGTCATGATCACAATGTAAATACTTCAATTTTGAATTTTTTTTACTTTAAAAAAAAGCATTCAGTTCATACGATCATCGGGATTTTATTGGATGCTATTGTTATGTGATTATTATTACTATTATTATGTGATTATAATGTCATAGCACTCAAAAGCGTTAAATAATATCTTGTCCAGACGCAACACGCCGTATGCCAAATAAATGTCACTGAGGCAGTGCATGTGTGAAATAAATTAATGAACGCGGTATGATATTTTTAAGAGCACAATAAACATACCCTACAATGTTCAGATAATTTAAGACGTTTGAAGCGTGATATAGCAGAATCGTATCGATTCCGATTTTGGGATTTCATTGGTCTACAACATTCGAGAAAAACATTTTTATTAACGAAAAATAACACTAAATTTAAATATCTTAATCGCTATACATTTCGTTTTTAATGTCGAGTTCCATTATGCATATCTAGAGGACAAGGTCTAAAACGAATGAAATTAAAATGGGACACACGGAGCTAAACCGAATCTCCCACATGGGCACTAAACCGAATCCAATACAGAAATAGTTTTTGAAATTGATTCATAAATGACGTAGTTCCGATTTCAAAAACAAAAAATATCCACCAAATTGAGAGCTTCTTCCCTTTTACAAGTTTTTTTATTAACTTGTAATGTACGTGTTTGTCCGGGTGGAATCTTGCAACTGAATTTTAAATCAGTTATCTCTATCCGATTGAGCTGAAATTTTAGATGCTCTTATTTTAGATGACCGATGACACACTTATTTGGATGTGTACGCACCACCTCGGGGCAACGGGGCGAACCCTGTTTTTTAATGTTTTGAGCCTTTAGTGAATGTATTAACAAAGGCCGACGCTAACGGTATAATACATCTTGCCTTTGATAACTTGTGTTTGTGTGGTGATGGTGTTTTTGGATTGAGGTCGTGTTTACCTAGTTTAGATAATAATAGATTGCTGATTAAGTACATATTGTTATTTGTTGAATATAAATTGTTATTGGAGCAGCGGTCAATTTACAATTGATATCGCTTACGCTTTGGTTAATTATGTTTAATCGTCGATTAAATAAAGCGAGGAGAGTTGAAATTTTATTGAGGACGAAACCTGTTGTATATAAGTTCTTACCCATCTAAACAAAGCTCTTGGAGGGTCGACGAATATTTCTTCGGTACTCGTGGGAACAAGATGGAAGAAACAGAAACAAAAAACAAAGGAAGAGAGAAAAAAGTTAAAACGGCAAGAAAAATTTGCCATCGAAAGCGAATGCGAAATACCAACGACTTTGCAAAAGGTGAAATTGCAATCAGGTGAATACCCACCCATATACTGGTGTTGCAAATGCGTTATTACTTAACATCAGGTGAACCGCCAGATCGTTTGCCACTTTTTCACACAAATAAATCTCGGCTCGACAACGATATACAACGCAAACAACAGTTACGAGCATCGGAATCACAAGAACAGCATGTCGCACGAATCGAAAGAGTTCTTCAACACAGTCATGTCTGAAACAGGAGCAGTATGTTCGTTGGATTTGCATATTTTATAGGAAACATTTTCTTTCATAGAATTACTTATAATAACTATGTTAAACCAGACTGTAAGTTAGTACACAAGCGAATCTCGCGAGAAGGTTTTATATCATTGAATAAATTGTGTAATACACGTACTAAATTGATTCTTTTGATTTAATTTAAAGTTTTTTTTCTTCCTTTAGGGAAATTAAAAAAGCTTGCTTTTAAAAAGTATTTTTTTTGAAGTTTATTTGTAGTCGGTGGGAAAGTAATACTCGTATGTTATAAAATATTTACGAAAAAAAACTTTTGTCTGAGACAATAGAAAGGGAATAATTAGGTGCCGTTTAGATGGCTTTGTATGTTTGTATATCTTACTGATATTTCTTTAACTGTTATTTGTGTAGACCGATGATTCCCCACGCCAACATTTTTAATTGTCACACGCGACTTTGTATCCTATGACAATGACGCGTGGACCCTTAAATATCTCTCTCAGGAGACAGAAATAAAACACAAACTATATTTAAAAACATGACGTCTGTCCATATGCATAGAGAAATCGCTAGCACTGTGGGTAAACTGTAAAAGTCTACTCGCAAAACAAACACAAGACAAAATCCGTTCATGTGGGTCGGTTATTTGATATTGCCTTTTAGCTGTATTAAACTACTGATACTCAAATTAAATTTAAAATTGAATGTAGTCCATAAATAAATTGAAAAAATCTAGGTACTGGAGATTTACAGTAGTAACATTATGCCATAATACGACGTAGTCTCGTTTTAAATCACAATGATGTACTGTATAACAATGTAATTGTTTGATGAAAAAATAAATGACAAATTAGAGGATACCTACAGGGTTACTTTCGCCTGTTTCTTCTCCGTCAGAGGAACGTCATTACGAAACGGTGGTAGATTTAAAAATTGACTATCGATCGATGAATTGTATGTTTCTTACTTCGATGAATAAATGATTTGATTTGCTTTTTGTTAAATATATATTTTAGGTGCCATACAGAGAATACTCCTATTTATGATATATTTATCTAAGTTAAATTGTGAACATCTCTGTTATGAATCTAATTCATCGAAGTATTGGGTGATCATGGGATGTCATTTTTTTATTTTTCATGCACTGCTTTACATTTATTGTTGGCGTTGTGTGACATTTACCTATAATTCAAACTTATTACATCGCTATTAATTGCATTTAATAAACTTTTCACAAACAAAGAGTAATTATATAGTAAAACAAAGATTTTTACTTGGAGGACCGAGCTATGCTCGGTTTTCTTTTCTGGTAAATCATGTATTTTGGAAATAAAAAAAATAAAGAAAATGATCTAGTATAGAAAAAAAAAGTAAAAAAATAAGTGTGTAAACTGTAACTGATCGTGATACGAACCGCGGCCGTCTGTTTTGAGGCCGCCCGATAACCGACCGAGCTATTATAACATTTTTTTTGGCGGCGAAATTTACTGCCATATTCGAATGATATTTTTAATTCCCTGAAAACAGGGATAAAAGGATATTGTCTAAAAATGATTTCATGAAAATCGCTGGAGCCATTTCCGAGATTCTGATTATCTAATATATAAAATTCTCGTGTCACAGTTTTCGTTGCCATACTCCTCCGAAACGGCTTGACCGATTTTGATGAAGTTTTTTGTGCTTATCCGGTATCTATGAGAATCGGCCAACATCTATTTTTCATCCCCCTAAATGTTAGGGGTAGTCCACCCCTAAATTTTTTCTTTATTATTTAGACAAAATTTTTAATTTCTAAAAATACATACAATCCTCAATTTTCACCCCTCTACGCAGACGTAGTCGCGGGTAGCAGCTAGTACTATATAATAAATATAAAAAAAGTAATACTAGCACAGGGAATAGCATTTATAGTGATTGTCTTTTGTTACCCTAAAAAAATATAACTTCTTACGTGCGCACATAAGTACACACATACTTTTTTTATCTGTTACTTCTTTTGGAAATAAATATAAATTATTATTACGAAATTAATATTAAATGAAATTATTATTAAAAAAATTTCACGAAAAATATAAAACGTTACAAAGATTCTATTTCAAATTTGTAAAAAGAAGAAATAAAATATCTGCGTAGTTCTAACGTCAGTTAACGGTCTTTGAACATCAGGACGATAATTGGTTGAGTTTCCGTGGGGTGGATGTGACGGCTCAATGTCCAACAATCAATCAATTACTATCAACGATCAGATAAAGATCTCTTTCGTCACATCACTAAGTGATAACGTGTAACATACCTCGCAAAAATTTTTCGGTTATAAGTAGGTATGCATAATTTAGTTATAACGCGCCTAATAGGAAGTGAGAAATCAGTGTCCAGGCGCTCGCCTTTAATTAATATATAACTCAAGCAACCTAAGTTCAAATCCCGGTGCCGGCAGCAATCGCTGGCTTATCACGTGCTCAGCGGGGAAGCAAAACGTCGTGAGGAAACCTGCATATATTCGAAAGAGTAACAAAAAAATATTTCGAAGATATATCAAGTCGTTGTGGCGTTCTAAGGGCTCCCCCTTTGTTCTGCCTTCATGTTCAACAGTGGGCGTTTTGCTACTGATGATGATGACATGAAGTCCGCCTATATGGGGGGTATGGCCGCGTGTTAGACTATATCATCTACACAGTGGAGGCCTTAGACCAGCAGTGGAACATATATAGGCTGCTACTTTTAATTAAAACTGTTGCCGGTACGCTTCGCTTCACCTACAAAAATGTACCATTTTAAAACCTTTTTTTTATTGTTTATTATTTTTCTTATTCTAAACCACTCAGGTATACAATATTTTCGACTTTGTCATCATTGGCAAAAACAAATAAACTTGTCGGCTTACCAACGCGACATACAATTGACTATTGTTATACTTAGCGAGATTCAAGTAAATTGGATCTATGATTCAAAATTTAAG